AGTACTACGCACTAGATCCTCTTCCCTCAATCCATTCTTGCGTTCGTCCCTGTCGCTTGTACTGTTTTTTCTGCAGTTTCATCTTGTCATGAAACGTATCGTACACCTGCTTCCAGATGCGTTGTAAGCCTACATTTTGCCACTCCTCGGCTTCTATATTAGTGAATGTTGACTTCCCACGTGGAGGTTTGACGGCAAGACCACTGCCTTTCTGGGAAGAGGCTAGGTCGTCAAAGTCACTGTCATCGTCATCACTCTCGAGTCTTGCACGCTTTCTCTTAGGTTGAAGGCTACTGGCCGGACACCAGTGTTTGATATGTCGCTGTAGATCGTGCATGTTATCTATCAGCACCCCGCAATCTGCGCAAGCCGTGGCCATAGTCAATGATGTCTCACTACTCGTGTCTGAATCGGTTTCAATTGGAGTGAGCTGATGTTGGGGCAATCTCTCTTCTTGTGTCAGAGGACTATCCAGAGATTCTGTTGTAGTCAACTTCTCCCTACGCAGATCAGGTTCAGACTGTGCTGTTGTTCTCCTGTTTTCCTCATTTATGAGGTTAACATGCAGTCGATCCTTATCTTTGGTGGTAGGTTTTAGATCGATGGTGAGTTGTCCATAGGGTGTTTCAGCAACCTTTTCATACATAGCCATAAAGTGATCCATATGTTTGGGGAAAATTCTACGAGCGAAGAGTTTGATTTGCTGTTTATCTATGGGGGAATGAAACAGGGTGACATAATGCGCGTTCAAAGCAATGTCTCTCGATTCCTTACCTCTCGGAAACAGATTTTGTATCAACAGAAAGATCAATACATTCTTGTGATGTGAGGTTTGAGTAAACAGCCGCGAAATACGCTTGTCGTGCTTTGCTTCGGCCAGGAAATCATCCAGCACCAACACGTTCTGTTGACGAGCATCAAAGTAATCCTCGTCCAAGATATCGTATGGAATTCCTTTTACAAAGGTCAGCTGAGGTAGCTGCTCACCGAGGTCCTGATATAATGGCTGCCATTGAGTATAACACCAAACGATGCGGGTAGGTTGGGGTTGGATCAGGCCATGCCGGAGAACATGAGAGGTAAACACAGACTTTCCACAACCACTGGGTCCCACAACGAGCGCATTTGAGGGAATCAGGAACTTGCATTGTTCTCGAAGATCAGATATACATGGTGAATGAGGCAGCCACGAGTGGACTTGCGATGGCGGTCGGGCTTGTAACGGCGGCGGTATGCTATGTTTATTTCTCCTGTGTCGTAACATGACATCTCTCCTTGAAAACATTTTTTCACAGTCCGGACAGGTGGCAACCCCCATGGTGATCCAATACGGTGTGCGATTAGAGGGTATGAAGCTTTCTTTTATACCCTTGACTCTGTTGACGCTTCAAGGCAGCAAGAGCCCGTTCCACCACAGCATTCACCTCCGACACATGTTGTATTTTCACGGGTTGGGGTGTTGTCTTCGATCCCTGTTTGGTTGTCATCGTTTTCATTATAGGTGTTACCTGTCTCTTCTTTGTCTTCAGCGTCGACTTCTTGGCTGCTTGTGGTTTCTTTCTCTGTTGTGATTTTCTCAACGTAGTCTTCCTAAATATATCTCTAGGGTCAAGTCTAATCTCTGATGCTTTCTTCATGTTGTTCACGTCCAATCCGTTTGCTGGTGAGAGTAAAACTGTTTGTCGGGCTACACTACTGTAGAGTTTATACAGTCTTACACGTGCAGGGATTCTTGGAAGATACTCTTTTCTTCACAGCACAGTTGTGAGTATGTTAAAAAAGCGATCATATTAGTATATAGTCTTCGTCATACTACACCCGTGAAGGTCCCGGGTTATAGAATCGACCTTCAGTAACCCATGCTTATCGGCGACTGACGGGATCCATTGGTCAGTCTCGCCGACTCGGATGACACGTGCCATCGGTTCCTAGATGCACAGATCGCTGCTCATGCTGTTGATCACTGGATTGTCTGGTCCAAGCTCGTTTATTGACAGACCACCGTCCTAGAGCTGGAATAATGCCGAGTGTGGCGTAAAACTAAATTCACTCACTCACTGATACCAATACATCTAAAAAGTAATGTCATCATTTAAATGGTGAGTTTAAACGCGTATTTTACCCTTACAAGGACGAGTGCATTCCACACACCCTTCCTGTTATCAATGTGTCACTGTTTACAGTTCGGGCGAACATAACCCTATAGACATGTGTGCGGGCGAGTTCATTCATCAGAAATCTGTCATTTACGGTGTGTTTATAAATATGAACTGCTAACCACGCTCATAGTCATGTTGCGTGTCGTGGTTAGAACCGTAATTGATCTATTGAAAGGTGTCATACATTCGTGTTCGGATATAGGTACAACATCTTCACGCACATACTTTCCTACATCATTCAAATGTATTAAATACCGGATACGTTTAATAGACACCAACGAAAGAACGGTTTAATGAGGTGGAATACCCATATATATCCTCTCTGAAATAACTTTTAAAATAACAAATGTACAACACATGTTCCCTAACGTATCATAAATACGGGACACTGGTCACACAATTTATGAATGGGCAGCTTCAGGCGAGGCTGTTATGTTAACATTAATTGTAAGGCCGGGGTAGTGTATGTTGACATTGTTATGGGCGGCCGGTAGTCGCTTAGTCTCTCTGCTATACATTAGCTCGTTCTTGCGCGCTAAATGTAAACTGCTAGCTTGCTGATTGCGTAGTCTTATCTATTTTGTCTATATTTTTTTTCTATACAGGTTGTCTAACGTTCATGGTGTACAACGTGTAGACCGTATAAGATGAATTTGATCCAGCTAGACGTACATTTTTTTCCCCTACCTACATTACCCGGCGTATATCATGTTGACACAACCCGTCTCTATTGTGGTATGATGTACTTTCAACACACACCCTGCATTCATCAAACCAGGTCGCACGCTCTCGCGAGCACGGTCAATTTGAAACGACTACGTGAGTTGTACACTAATTGTAATTTCTACTAACGCCTGAAATTAGCGAAACCATTATGACCAATAAACAATTTGAAACGACGAGGTCACGTGAGATGTCAAGCGCGCTCAATTCAAACTGGGCTGCTTGTCTATTCACTTGCGCTCGCTCCGATAGGCTGGGGGACGCTTTCAGTCTGGTGGTCTACCATGGTCTACCAAAAGGAGCGTCTGCGCCCTCACTATATACTACTCAGCTATATGACGGCGGTTTGTAAATAATCGAGTCTGGACCAGACAATCCAGTGATTGATATCATGAGCATCGACCCACACAATTGGAATCAATGACATGCATCAACCAAGTCAGCGAGCCTGACCACCCGATCCCGTCAGTCGCCTTTTACGACAAGCATAGTCACCTTTAACGGCAAGCATGGGTTGCTGAAGACCTATTCTACCCCGGAATCTTCACGGGTCCCCACTTATGGAAAATAATTTCCACTTGTGTAATAAAATACAGGATGTTTGTGATATCAGTTGATATTTGGGTGATTATAGTTAGTGAGTGTGGTTTTACACCGCTTTTAGCAATATTCCAGCATTATAATAGCGGGGGACACCAGAAAAAGGCTTCACACATTATACCCATGTGTGGAATCGAATCTTCGGTGTTACGAGAGAACGCTTCAACCGCTAGGCTACCCACCGCCCCTGGAGCAACTTTATAACCTTCAGGTATACCTCCCTAAGTTAGAAAGATAGGTAACATCTTATACATGGTTAATTATTCAAACATAATGTATAACGCACTTAAATATACAGTGAGATTATTGGTCAGATATATATGGTCAATTCTTTTGCGCGTTTTATCTTAGACATAACCAACTTCACAGTGTTGAAGGGGTCGTTGTCGGCACAGGTTCTTACAGATATGTACCCGGCAGTGTTCGAAATACCTGCCTGCCCGACCGTCCGAGACGGGTTGATTTCAACTCGGGCTGCCAGATTTTCAAATCCCCCTGCCCGACGGCCGGGTTATATTTCATATGTGAAAATATTCTAAATATTTCCCGATAATAAGCATTAATTCACATATAAAGATGAATGATAAAATGTAACCAAAAAGAAACCTCGTTAGCCTATCCTGAGAAACATATGATTATAGTGGGCAGGCATGCAGGTTTTGGTCAGGGCTGGCAAGTATTTCAGCTAGCCAGTCCTGTGGTCTGGCTGAAATCTTTGGGAGTTTCATACCCTGATGTACCCCAGGTACGTTTCTGTACAAAATCAGAATAAGGAAAGGTATCCTGGGATAAATCCATTCCGGCGCAAGCCGTATAACGCAATTAATGCTCTTAACCGTTCCTTGAACGCTAATATATATGACACGTGCTGGATGCAAAACCACGGTAAACTTCAACATGACACCACGTTATATATTTTTCTCTCGATATTTCTATCATGAATTGATTGGAACTGCCATACTGTTGTATCAGATGCATTCCAGTGTGCTATAAAAAAAGAAACCAACAAAAAACAACAACAGTGACGTAAGTAAGTACGGATAGCATTACCCAGCATGCACTCGTCATCAGGTGAACCAGAACTACAACATGAACCGGTTTCGGTTTAGGGTTGACTATGGACTCCTCCGCCGTTTAGGGTACCGGGTACATTTCCGTACTCTGATTTTGGGTCGGGTCTGGGCTACCAATTTGTGCATACAGAAACGTACGTGGGGCACATAGTACCCGTGCCGACAACGACCCCTTCAGCCTTAGTCTTAATTTTAAATTAATTTATTAAAAATTCATATTTCTGTATAATTTAGGTGGGCACTGATCGAGCTTCGTGACCCCTTTGGGCATAAAACACATTGTCTCCAAACCAGTCACATGTACAACGCCATAAAGCACGCGTGTGATAAAAGAGTCAAGAAACCCATTAAACATTCATGACCAAAGCTCTCGTAACGAGACACAACGAACGCAGCCGTACGAGGCACACGCCATCCTTTAGTACGTCAACAATCAGTATCCCTTATCTGCACAGGCTATTATTACACGGTCAAAGTTCACCATCTCGCGTGTCACACAACAAACAAAACCGAACACTAGAAACATCTTCCGTCAACTCCTCAATATACCAACGTCCGAAGACAAGGGATCACATCGCCCCTTCTGCTCCGACCGAGACACGGAATAATGAGGTTCTGCGTGTTGCTTGTCTTAGCTATACTTCTACTTGACCAGTGCGTGGATAGCCAGAGTCAAAGAAGAAAGAAGAAAAACAAGAAATACAATATAATATCTGACAGAAAGAAATGGACAGTGTTCCAATCGTATAGCAGTAATGATGCCATTCCAACGATGCCACCTGCTCCCAGTAGTGCGAACACCAGCATGGGGGGTGGGACACCCTTTAACGTGGGGGGTATCTTCCCACACCTGACCCTGACAGCCGACAGCGAGGGTCCCCGGTCTGAATGTGGGACGGGAGCGTTGATGCCATGGGCAGACAAACTCTACGTCGTCTCATACCTCTCCGTCCCTAACGCCGGCAACGGAACGGGGCTCTACTCCATCGACAGCGACTTCCAGGTCAGTGTGTGTACTTGTCACTATGTTTTCGTTGGTTACATATCTGTTACAGTCAGTATCTAAATTAGGCCAATTTGTAGCCTAGCTATAAAGAATTCAGTCAATTTACCAGTTGTTTGATTCACTCAGTCTCAATACAAATTGGCTGAAACGTGCGCGGTAATAAAGGATCACACACAAAACACCATCTTCCCGAAGAAAGGGGGACGGGTGGCCCAGTCGTTTAAGCCGCCGCGATTCGCTGTGAAGAGTTGCGTCCCTTGGGCACGCCAGAAACCTATGGTTGTGGGTTCGAATCCCGGTTCGCCCCGATTATGTTTCTAGGTTTGTCAGCACCATACCCGTGCTCGTGGGTTTTACCGAAGTGGTAAACATCTGAGACCTGCATCACTTCGGGCTTTCTGCCCACATTAAGCTGACACGCCGTGATCTAACTGGAATACTGTTAAAACGGCGTTAACCCCAACTCACTCACTCTTCCCGAAGAAAGGGCGTTAACTGACTGGAGGATACACATAAAGTTTACTGGGTGGTGGCGGCAGGAGGTCTGTGCCACTCCTAGGCCTGTCTCTCTACCGCCCAGTCTGCCTGAATCAGGCCATGCTCTAGTCTCTCTTACAGACCCTGATACAAATATGTATCAAATACAGCCCATGCAAGTCTATAATGTTTGGCAAGTCTAGATCACTGCAGTATCAGGAAATCTGAAAATGAAGAGAGTCACTGGGCTCTTTTTTTAATTATATTTTTATTAAGATAACTAAACAACTGTTTTTTTCTGTACGATATGTTCATTTCAGAGACTAGATGTTAGTCTAGCCATGCTCCTGATGACTATCATTCGGCAACAGCAAAAACACCATGCGACGTAGCCAATCATTGGTCCTTTATGTGTCAATCCAACAGCTTGTTCTCTCTATTGCTGTGTTAATCCTAGCATGCTACTGTCCAACGGTTTGGGAATGAATGAACAATAAATCGTACCTTTTATACCCATATCATTGCAGCAAGTGCAGCCAAAGGTTCACTTTAAATTCAAGTTCCATTGATCTGGGTTCATGCTGTAGCACTTTCATTACTCAGAAATCTCTTTTGGAAGTTCGGGGTTTGGACCCACAATTTTCAAATTTTAGTTAAAGGGGAAGTGTACACGCAAAAATCACTTTCTTTCTTTTTCTAAACAAAACGCAATTTTAGAATTAATTAGTATCTGTGTTTGAAAATATACACTCATTTTTTTTCACAGTGAACGTAGGAAGCTCACAATAGTGTGAAAATGATATGCCGTTATGAGGCCTTCGTTTTTCGAGCTAAACAGTCCTGAGTTATCCCCCTTAGATTATGACGTAACTGGTGCCAATTCAACTGGGTCCCTGTCTATTCTCAACGCAAAAGATATCAAGTACCAGTTTGCGGTAAAACAACATGGCCTACGACACACTCCGGCGCAGTGGTGACTCAGCATAACACTATGCTGGCTGGCATCTGAGACGCTAGAATCACACACCTGGATCTACACCACGTGAAGCGGCTCTAACAAAGCATGATGACGTCATAATGTTTATCAATTGGCACCAATGACGTCATATTGCAAGGGGCATAAGCCATGGTGTTTTTATTGTGGAAATAGAACACTTGGTAAATGTGAAAAATATAAATCGTTTTAATGCGAAAAATATGTTAATTAATTGTGATATTTTTATATTTTTGTCTATGACACTTCTATGTTAACACTTTTAATGTGGAAAAAGTACAAGAAAAATAGGTTCATTTCCGTGTGAACTTGCCCTTTAAGTAACGTTTCCTCGTCAGCTTACATCAAAAGGTATGCTATTTATGTCCATCATCCACTTTCCTTGTAATTGAAAAGTATACATTCCTCGAGCAGTTGTGAGTACAAACATGGCTTATGCTACCCGTGATAGCCTTCTTTTTTTCCTTTTTTTTATCTCATTATCATATGAGACAATGGCCTGTTATCATACAGCTATTTTTAATGTTCTGTTTTAAAATCACCTACATCTCTACTGTTTTAGTGAACAATGAGAAAATTTTAACGTTTTTTCGATATGTTGAATTTGAAATGTGGCGTAAAAAAATCTCAGCTCAGTTTAAAAAAATGACAAAACACACACACACACACACACACACACACACACACACACACACACACACACACCCCTACCTTACGTCACTTTCAGTAGTATTCCAGCACCACAGCGGAGAGGGACACCAGAACATTGTTGTTGTGTAATTTTGTTGTTGTTTATATTGCAGCTAACCAAACTAGCGAACCATCGTTCGACGTACGCCAACCGTCTCCTGCACAGGGAATCCAATCAGATTGTTATCGGCGCTTGGTTGATAGATATCCATGGCAACGTGTCAACTTTCCAAGACTTATTGCATGTGCGAGTTGCAGCAACAGCAGAACACTTAACAGATCCCAAAAACCTGGTAGGTGTAAGGGAGATCGACTCATCCTCGATTATCCAGCGTATTATTATATCATGATAGGCTTGATAATCGAGGATGAACATGGCACTTGTTTCAACTTAAGGACATTGACTGGTTATGGGTGTATTTTTTCAAAGATGATACAGTCATTGGTTATACTCCTTGTCGTAACTGGCCCAGTCGTCTAAGGCGCCGCGATTCGCTGTGCAGAGTTGCGTCCCTTGGGCACGCCAGAAACCTATGATAGTGGGTTCGAATCCCGGTTCGCCCCGATTATGTTTCTAGGTTTGTCAGCACCATACCCGTGCTCGTGGGTTTCACCGAAGTGGTAAACATCTGAGACCTGCATCACTTCGGGCTTTCCTCCCACATTAAGCTGACACGCCGTCATATAACTGGAATGCTGTTAAAAGCGGCGTTAAACCCAACTCACTCACTCACTAACCTTGTCGGAACTCCAGATCGCAAGCGGTCGTTAGTACCTTACGTCAAGAAACTATCGACGTTACACCGTGGTCGCTAGGGACCACGACCAAAATGTAGAAAATCTAACATAACGCTCGAACAATGAACTGGATTATGTTTGTGTGTTGTTCTACGCCGCACTTAGCAACATTCCATTTATATGACGGAGGTCTATAAATGAACGATTCTGGACCAGACAATCGAAGGACTGACATCAATTTGGATATTAAGCAATTGGGATTCGATGACATGCCTCTACCAAGTCAGCGAGCCTGACTACCCGATCCGTAAGTCAAATGTGTTGCTGAAGACAACAACGGAGAACAAAAGGTGCAATGTCAGATTATAAATATTTACAGAGATTGTCGCATGTCAGTGTGACCTCACGCACATCATAAATACTTACAGAGATTGTCGCATGTCAGTGTGACCTCACGCACATCATAAATACTTACAGAGATTGTCGCATGTCAGCGTGACCTCACGCACATCATAAATACTTACAGAGATTGTCGCATGTCAGTGAGACCTCACGCATATCTGTTACTGACAACTTTTGACACTAGCAAGGGATCGCTGCGATCTGACATATTACATTAGGAAACTGAAAATTACAGTGGAATGGTGTAGAATGACCTGATTCATGACAATATTTAATTATAAAGATACATTTATGATATAATAACATGTTACTGTTACAGGTGTATATGCTGGGGATGGATGGTCCGCTGTGGGAATGTAACGTCTACAACTTGACCTGTGTCCAGCTGTTTGACCTGGTCCAGACACTAGGGATTCCAGCCGCAGCGGGCGAGCAGCCCCACTTCAAGGCCGCGCACACCATGAACGGCAGACTGGTGGTGACGAGCAACACATTCGAAGAGGCAGACTTTGAAGGGTAACCAAACTCTATCTCTTGGACATACATGGATATACTTCATTTCTGAACAGTAGGCATGTGAAGATCCGGGTTAGAATAGGTCTTCAGCAACCCATGCTTGTCCTAAAAGACGATTATGCTTGTCGTAAGAGGCGACTAACGGGGTCGGGTGGTCAGTCTCATAACTTCATGATGATACAGGAATTCCTCGACATTCACCCGTGAAGAACAGGTCTTCAGCAACCCATGCTTGCCGTAACAGCGACTATGCTTGTCGTAAGAGGCGACCAACAGGATCGGGTGGTCAGGCTCGCTGATGTATGTCATCGTATTCCAAATGTGTGGGTCGATGCTCATGATGTTGATCACTTGATTGTCTGGTCCAGACTTAATTATTTACAGACCGCCGTCATATAGCTGGAATATTGCTGAGTGAGGCCTTAACAACAAACAAAGTGAACAGTTATAACCTGTGTCTTGAGTGTAGAAAGTACAGTGGCAGAGAGATTAGTGTTGTCATTTTATTGTGACTTCATGGTAACTAATGACGTCACAATCGTTTGCAAATCATTGTGATGCAATAGCTCCTATCACCCAAGCGATATCTCCTATTATATAATGAAGAAAGTTTTGGGTGATAAATCAATCAATCAATTAATATCACCCCACGTTAAACAGAATATAAGATAGCTGCGCCATAAATCGCAAAGAACAATGACGAACGAAGCGTGGTTTATTTCACGATAAAACATTGTTCTATTATGGCGTCATTTCTGGAGATTCGAACATGCGCTCGCAAGTTGATGACGTCGTAAATGGGATGAGGTTAGTTTAGAGAGGGAAGTGTCTAGTGAGTGGTTGTTCTCCATAGATGTAGCTGGGCAATGTAGATAAACGTAATGGTTGAAAGATAGCATTCCAAAATGGGATAGGTATGACAATCGGTATTGGGAGAAAAGGTCAATTGGGTGGAAAGATCCAATTTACCCCCCCCCCCCCCCCCCCCCCCCGTTCATAAAATGGACTTGTCCGATATTGCCAAAGTGGGATTCTATTCACAGAGTCATCATTATTTAAATAAGGGAATATATCTTTAAAGCTTATACATTTTAGAAACATCATTAAAGAGGCTGTACATGTTAATATCTCATTTAAGAAATAAACGACTCGTGGTCCTTGTTTATCGTACAATAAAATACCGCAGGGAGATAAACCACTCGGGGCTGCGCACCTCATAGTTTATTCTCTCTGCAGTGTTTTATTGTAAGATAATAATTAATCACGTCTAGTCCTAGGCTAGAAATGGCCATGGCGTGTGTCCCTCTTTCATTGTATTGCCGTATTTGTAGCGTTCAAGATGGCGGCCGTCTGGCCGAATGGACGGGCCCAGGAAATAACTGGACAATCCTGGCGAGAACGGCGTTCGTGGAGGTGGCCGGCAGGAGGAACTTCGGCAAGGTCATCTACGCCCTCGGCTGGGACTACCGTTCCGTCATCCTCAAGGTCTTCAATGGCGACGACGTGGGTGAGGTTCTTGAACGCTATTTAACACTGCAGTGTTAAGATGTGGTACCTTCACTTGTGATTTTAACGACTTTGACAATGGTTGTTAAAAGAAAATATAGGGGCGGGTTGCGGTCCTTTGACCCCTTTCAAGCAGGTCATTGGTTTTTGTGGTTGTTGTTTAACGCCGCACTCATCAATACTCCAGCTATATGTCGACCCACTGTAAGTAATCGAGTCTGGACCATAAATTCTAGTGAGTAATATTAGGAGCAACGGTCCACACTGTCGGGGTACGATGACATGCAATCAACTAAGTCAGCAGGCCTGGCCACCCGATACCATGAGTCGCCTCTTACGACAACAAGAATAGTTGCCTCTTACAACAAGCATGGGTTGCTGAAGACCTTTTCTTACCCGGATCTTCACCCATCAAAATACTTTCGTCACTTCATACTATCAGCATAGTTTGGTTGAGACCAATAATAACTATTCTATTCCCCATGGAGGATCCACCTGTGATAGCTGACTGCAGTGTTAATAATTGGCTCACTCACTTATATTTGCTACACGGCATGACTAGCTCCAAACGAGATGACCGAGCAAAATATGACATACGATGACGGATTACTTACTTATGTCTCTCTTTACAACTGATTTGCACAGGGGAATTGATCTATATCAAATGATTGCCAAAGATAATAAGTCAAGTCAAATGTTACACTTTTCACAGCTTACAGGAAGTGGCAGACCTATCGTCTGCCAAAGGCTAGCCATGCATATGATCACCTGTGGCAGACAGAATGGCCCCGCATCAGGGAGGTGGAAACAGAACGCTACCTGATGGACATGCACGGAATGTTCTATGAGTTGTCTCCCCTTGGTTGGGCCGGCAGCATGTGGGGTGTCCGACCGGTGTGCCAGCATCTGAGGATGATCCCTGACTACACGTCGTTCAGGGGGATGCTGGTTCTTGGAGGGAATCAGGTAAAACAAATAAAGGTCTTTATTTTGCCTGACTGAATGTCGATAGAGCTCAGGTCACAGGAGCGATTTCGTCGGGGTGGTTGTCACAACTCATGTTTACGTTGTAACAGTGTTATGGTACTAAAAAAATCCTATTTCGTGTATGCAACGTTGTTCTGTGGACTACCATTTATGTTGTCGCAACATTATGGGAGCGTTGTAGTTACATTCTAATTTACGTACTAGTAACGTTGTATTTCACGTTATGGGAACGTTGTATCTTACGTTTAAGTAACGTTGTATTTCACGTTGTATTTTACGTTCTAGTAATGTTGTATTTTACATTGTGGGAACGTTGTATTTTACCTTTTAGTAACTTTGTATTTCGCGTTGTGGGAACTTTGTATTTTACGTTCTAGTAACGTTGTAGTTTACGTTGTGGGAACGTTGTATTTTACCTTAAGAGAACGTTGTATTTTACGTTTTAGTAACATTGTATTTCGCGTTGTGGGAACGTATTTTACGTTCTAATAACGTTGTAGTTTACGTTGTGGGAACGTTGTATCTTACGTTTTAGTAACGTTGTAATTCACGTTGTATTTTACGTTTTAGTAACGTTGTATTTTACTTTGTGGGAACGTTGTATTTTACCTTAAGAGAACGTTGTATTTTACGTTTTAGTAACATTGTATTTCGCGTTGTGGGAACGTATTTTACGTTCTAATAACGTTGTAGTTTACGTTGTGGGAACGTTGTATCTTACGTCTTAGTAACGTTGTAATTCAAGTTGTATTTTACGTTTTAGTAACGTTGTAATTCACGTTGTATTTTACGTTTTAGTAACGTTGTATTTTACGTTATAGTAACGTATTTCACGTGGTGGGAACGTTGTATTTTACTTTTTAGTAACGTTGTATTTCACGTTGTGGGTCTGTTGTATTTTACGTTCTAGTAACGTTGTATGTATTTTACGTTTGAGTAACGTTGTATTTCACGTTGTAGTTTACGTTGTGGTAACATTGTGTTTTACGTTGAGCGGACGTTCTATTTTACGTTGTGGTAATGTTGTCATGTTCATGATGGAATAAAGATATGGTATACTGGAAAATTGAGGCGAGAGAGCGGAAGGTTTCGGCTGCGTCATTCCAAAACGACATTATGATATGGTACTTGTTGTTACCCTGCCTGGTGGTCTACATTATGGGGATAAAACAAGGATTGACCTGCTCGAAGTCAGTATATTGGTGGAGTATCCATGTTAAAATGCGGCATGGTATCTCAATGAGCAGGCATTTATATGACGCCGATCTCGAAATTTGTTTTTCGTTCCTAGGTGTCCTCCATCTTTGACAACAACGTGGTGACGGGGCAGGCCCAGTCTGGTCTCTGGTTCGGGAAGACAGACGACCTGTGGGGGTTCGGCAAACCGCAGGGATGGGGCGCTGTGTGGAGGAGGGACATGGTGAAGGCTAACACCCCCTCGGATCCCTACCTCATGACTGGCTTCGACAAAAAGGTGCTGTTCATCACAGTCCTCAATTCCACGTCACCGAGTGTGGGGTTTGACGTGGAAGTCGATGTCACGGGGGCTGCAGGTAACGATCACATGACATTTCTCCGTAGCACAAAAACCTTTTCGCTTCGATTGTAAGTTTTGTTAGTATTGTATTATTTAAGAAAAAGCTTGTTGTTGCTGGGGCGGCGTGGGGCGGTGCTCATGTTGTCAACCACTGGTTTGTACAGCCTACGCTTCGTTATTAGCAGGCTGCGCATGTATAGCTGGAATATTGCTTGCCGTGACGTCATTCCTTCGCCCACTCATCTTCAATTCATCACGGGTGTGTAACTGTGTATTCCGTATATTTCTTTCAGACGCTCTTTACGCCTGGCGGGGCGGTCGGGTAGCCTAGTGGTTAAAGCGTTCGCTCGTCACGCCGAAGACCCGGGTTCGATTCCCGATAAGGGTACAATGTGTGAAGCCCATGTCTGGTGTCCCCGGCCGTGATATTGCTGGAATATTGCTAAAAGCGGCGTTAAACCATACTCACTCACTCACTTTACGCCTGGCGTTTAATCGCAAAGATAACAATGGGAAATTCTGTGCATAAAAAACTACCCGGCGTTTAATCGAGACCCTGGCATTTAATCAATCACGAGCGTTTAATCGAGGAGATACGGTATATGATGGGACAAAGTACTGACGATGTCTCTCTCACTCAGCCAGTCAGTACTTCCCTTCCAGCATAATAAACCCTGTTGCTGACAGTCCAGTATATACTTACCTGGCCGTGTATGTCATATCAAAGACCGCCTTCGTGGCCACTTCATACCTAAAGATGACACAATATGGCACTTGTTGTTACCCTGCCTATACTGCTGGACAGGACTGGTACGGCTTAGAGTCTGAACTGTTTCTGAGTAGGGTATCCAAGTTAGCCTCAGCATGGTATACCAAGCAACATAAGTTAGAGATCATGAATTTGTTTTTTGAATATGTGTATGATATTGGGTGCTTCACTCTTCACTACAAACAAATCTACCAAAATATTCATGATCCCTAATATTCTGTTGAGTATGTGAGTAGACTAGTTTGTTTGTTTGTTTGTTGTTAAACGCCGCACTCAGCAATATTCCAGCCTTTTGTCGGCGGTCTGTAAAAATCGAGTCTGGACCAGACAATCCAGTGATTGATATCATGAGCATCGATCTACGGAATTGGGATACGATCACATGCATCAAACCAAGTCAGCGAGCCTGACCACCCGATCCCGTTAGTCGCCTCTAACGACAAGCATAGTCGCCTTTTACAGCAAGCATGCATGGGTTGCTGGAGACCTATTCTACCCCGGGTCTTCACGGATCCAGTAGGCTAGTGCCATACAACCGGCTTTAATTCGGACTAGTACAAGCAGTCCACAACACAGACCGTACGTTTGGACGCGACATTAAACCACATGTTACCAGGGGCGGTCGGGTAACCTAGTGGTTAAAGCGTTCGCTCGTCACGCCGAAGACCCGGGTTCGATTCCCGACATGGGTACAATGTGTGAAGCCCATTTCTGGTGTCCCCCGTCGTGGAATTGCGGGAATATTGCTAACAGCGGCGTAAAACCATACCCACTCACTCACTCGCTGTTACCTCACATTAAAACATACAGGGTATTGATGAATCCACGACACGAACAATTTGACACTGCTTTCTGTGTTTCAGCACATATGGCGGGAGAAGAGTGGTTCCCCGTGGCAAGTCTGACTGTGGAGAAGTCCGAGTTTTTCGTTTTTCCCACTGGCTTCAGCGCTCATTGGGTGAGGGTGGTTGCCCGCCACAACGCTGTTGTTACTGCTTACTTCCACTACACCTAAATCACACTTCTATTCCATTTTATTGTTCAGTTTGTACTCACGAATTAGCATAGAAATATAATGCTAAATATGAGTCGCTGATTGTTGTATTAACCATTATGCATGACCCTGTTTGTCGTTTGTGTTAAGTGAGTGAGTGAGTGAGTTGGGTTTAACGCCGCTTTTAACAGTATTCCAGTTATATCACGGCGTGTCAGCTTAATGTGGGAGGAAAGCCCGAAGTGATGCAGGTCTCAGACGTTTACCACTTCGGTGAAACCCACGAGCACGGGTATGGTGCTGACAAACCTAGAAACATAATTGGGGAGAACCGGGATTCGAACCCACAATCATAGGTTTCTGGCGTGCCCAAGGGACGCAACTCTGCACAGCGAATCGCGGCGCCTTAGACGACTGGGCCACCCGTGCCCCCCGTTTGTGTTAAGTATTCGCATAGTAACATGTATTATTTTCGTTGTGTTCATTGTAATTCCCGCATTCTGATTAGCTGAATCGGTCACATGTTATTTAAAGCTACTTTCATCACTTTGATGATTGTTTGTTGTTTAACGCTGTACTCACCAATATTCAAGTTAAACGACGGCGGTCTGTAAATAATCGAGTCTGAGCCAGTCAATCCAGTGATTGACATCATGAGCATCGATCTACGGAATTGGAATACGATGACATGCATCAGCGAGCCTGACCACCCGATCCTGTTAGTCGCCTCTTACGCCTCGCCCGGCAAGCATAGTCTCTGTTACGGCAAGCATGTGTCGCTGAAGACCTATTCTAACTTTGGATCTTCACGGGTGAATGTCGAGGAATTCCAGTTAGTATTACAGTCGAGTGAATTCCCTTTCTCCTCACCTGTACCATCATGAAGTTATGAGGGCTCGATGACATGCATGAACCAAGTCAGCGAGACTGACCACCCGATCCCGTTAGTCGCCTCTTACGACAAGCATAGTCGTCTTTTAGGTCAGGCATGTCTTCAGTTAGAATTCCAGTCGAGTGAATTTCCTTTCTCCTGTATCATCATAAAGCTATGAGGCCTAGTAACATTTAAGTGTTTTTTTTCCGTATCAAACATCTCCGTCCTCCACACTCACTGCACAAACACAATCTCAGTTCCACAAATTTCTTCGGATTTCATTTATAACTTGCATTTTTTTCTAACTACATCTCCTAGTTCTCATCAACCTAATGTTTAAATCTGGCAGTTGTTGACCCCGTCATTTGAAACAGCCGCTTTCCCTGATATATTTCATCTGATTCCACTCTCATTAAAACCAGACCTTAGTTCTCGCTACCGCTGAACAAAGATCTGAAGACATCCCATAAAGGATCACGTCAGAACGACCTTTCATCCGACTAATCAGAGCGTCGTTTACCAAATTATGAAAGTGACAGTCGGAATGTGATTTCTACCTCGAACACTTTAACACGGGTTATTCCGAACGATAGTTACGGGTTTAACGACTGAATCCATACAATCTAGATAATCTATTAGACATTTCAGAATGTTCTTTTGTTCAGGTTTCAAATTTGTAACCGAGAACTGTTCAAAATATGTTTCGAAGCGTAGTCGCCAATTTGAAATTGGTGCCGTAAAACACGAGAAAGCTCCCTTTTGATTAGTCAATCCATTGGTCGGTCAAAGTTCGCGCAAGGTCGGTCTGACGTGACCCGTAATGGGATGTCTTCAGATCCTGGTTTTGCGGTGACGAGAACTAAGATCTGATTTTAATGAGATTGGTTCTGATTCGTAACAGTTGCAGTTCTTTTTGCCCCTTGCCTGGTCCTATTAACTTTGTCATACGTGACCAACCCGTGTTATTCCGGGACAAGCCGAATAGCGACTCGTGCCCATCCCGTGGCCATTTTTGTGACCGGGTTCCGTCTTAGCGCAAACGGGCATACCTAAAACAATTGTCAACTCGTTGCGTAATGGTTCACACATTTTCCCCATATATTATATATATTTCAGATGCAATTTAGACCACATTGGGACGTGCAGAATTATACAGTATGGTTGAACACGTTTAACTGTGTCTTTGGTATATTATTAGATGCAAGACATATGCACATCAAAAATTATTTCTGAGGGATTCTTTGACGAAGAACTTGAAAACATACGCGCATTCTGATTGGTTTGTCGTATTTTCGCACATAACATTCATCGATAGGGGGACGAGTCTTCTTGCAGGTTACGGAAAGGGGCGAGTGGTGACGAATGTTAATTTTGTTTGACGTTACTCGCCGTTCATTGGCTACTTACTTTCCGTGTATGTGCATACATTAAGACATCATCTGAATCATGACACTGTGGGTATTCCTACGCCCGGTCTGTTTATTATTCTCGTCATATTTGTCTGCTTGGATTTATAATGTAATTGCTTCTGATTAAACTGATGTTGATAGCACATGTGTTCGTTGTCGAATTTAATCATAAGGAATGACTGTGTATTTTTTGTTGGGTTCTTACAAAGGTTTATATGGCGGTCGGATATCCTAGTGGTTAAAGCGTTCGCTCGTCACGCTGAAGACCCGGGTTCGATTCCCGACATTGGTTCAATGCGTGAAGCCCATTTCTGTTGTCCCACGGCGTGATATCGCTGGAATATTGCCACAAGCGGCGTAAAACCAAACACACTCACTACAAAAATTTGTAGATCGGTTTTTCGATTTATGCCTCAATGAACAGTACACATACACAGTAAATCGTCCAAAACTGGCTTCCGCATGAGATAATTGATATCACCTAGGAGAAATCGCTGCAGTGAAATTGCGTCACAAGCGTTTGCAGACCATTGCGACTAGTTAGCTTTACCTTTTTACACACAAATCACTGTATATTCCTGTTTATTACCTACGAAGGGAAACAAATGTCCTTAAAAATTGCTTCCATCACTTTCCCAACAAACCTAGCTTCGTGCCATCACACTGCTACATGTACTTATCAGTTTCTTATTGAACATAGACATGGTTCTAACTATCTATTTTCAAAATAGCACGTTCTTAAGTAAAACTGTGCACATCATGTTACACGGTTAAAACTCAAACCGTACGGTTTATTTGTCATCGCGTTAAAAGGAAACGCTAGCATTGAAACATCAACTATGCAAGTCGGGACAGGGCTGAATAAGTGAACGCCCTCTATACAAATGGTTCACAATACTACGCAGCGCGGGTGATTGAAAATCCGGCTGCCTTCAGCGTTATAGTCAATGCAGGGTGACGTGACTACCTCGTTCTTCGTGCGCTAAATGTAATTAAACGACACTGCTAGCTTACTGATTGTATAGTCTTATCTATTTCTTCTATGTTTTTTTCCATACAGGTTGTCTAACGTTCATGGTGTACAACGTGTAGACCGTACAAGATGAGTTTGATCCAGCTAGACGTACATTTTTTTCCCCTACATTATCCGGCGTATATAAAGTTGACACAGCCCGTCTCTATTGTGGTATGATGTACTTTCAACACACACCCTGTATTCATCAAACCTGGTCGCACGCTCTAGCGAACGCGGGTTATTTGAATATAGGGCCACGTGAGTTGTCAAGCGCGCTCAATTCAAACTGGGCTGCTTGTCTATTCAGGGCAGCACGCCATACATATAGCTCTATTCAATACCCTTTGCTTTTGTTTTCTTATAAAGGGTTTGCTGCCTTAAAACACACACAACTTTCATTCCCCCTCACCTGTGACGTGCTGTTGATGCATGAGTCATCCTATCTGACCACGTGACTTGGATCAGCCAATCACCTTCCCTATTTTCCCTCAACCTCCCTCAACCAAAATGGCCTTCTGGCGACCCGTTATATACTACTCATGAGAAATCTCTGCCAAACGCTGAATAGATTGTAGGATTCCGACTATATCATGAGAACGTATTTATCAATCACTATCCAATAGTGATGGCACCAGGTGTTCGCGAAAAGGTGAGCGTATCCTGACCCACCGGTGGCACCCGTCACAAACACATGCAAAGCCAAGTAAATTGTCCACCTGAACAAAACACGGGAACATATGCTAGTCAAAATAGGGAACTGCATCGGACATCTTTACTTTGTCACTGAAGCGTAAAATTTAGAAAAGTCCTCCACATGACTACCATAAAACCTTTTGAAAGAATTACTGAGGCCTTGAATGTTGAATCAAAATACCATGACGCTTTTTGAAATCTTGGTAGAAAGAACATGATTCATTGTACCCCAAAAGTTAATATTGTAGACACAAAGGGCTGGAGCTGCGGGAATGTTGCTCGACATAAAGGTTGTTTGTTTGGTTTGTTTGTCCAGATTGTCTGGTCCAGACTGGATCATTTACAGACCGCCGTCATATGACTGGAATACTGCTGAGTGCAGTATCAAACAACCAGAAAGACACTGATGACCTGCATCACTTACTTCTGTAAATCTTTCCACGTGTTAAGCGAACTCCTCTAAGACCTCAAACTCCATTAATCCCCACTATTTTGGCATTTAGCATAACATCAGCAATATCTCGATCATATTGTTTGTTCAAGTTCACAAATATTGGTCAGTTAGAGTCCAGAAACATGCGCTATTCTATTTCAGCGGGTAATGTGACCAGTTAATATTGACCATTTTGGCATTTGGGATTCCGCGGTCTTTTAACAGCAAATACGTAATGATCAACTAACTTTTACAAAAACAGTACCACAGCATTATAGTAGGAAATGTATACAGTAGAACCGTAACAAGATAGTCATTTAACAAACATTGATCAAGAAGACTAAAGTCTATAGATTTTACCACTCGGAGTCCGTTCGGGGTAGGAAGTCACTCACTCTTCCTTGATCAAGGTATCTGTGGTCTAGTGGATACATCATCTGCCTGGGGAGTAGGTCAGTGGTTCAATCCCCAATATTTTATACCAAAAGATAGTACTTGTTGTTGCCCTGCCTGCCACTCACCATTGGGAAAAAATAATGTCTTTATACTGTATCTGAATCGGGTATCCATGTTATTTGTTAATTACTACAGCTACCAACACCCACAGTCATTATTTAAGAGCAATAACCTTGAACAATACCTTAAACTCTATTTCATGTAACCACACACTACTAATACACCAAATCTAATTACATTTTGAATAATAATGTCATCAATAGTGAAGTTTCAGCTTCATTGGTCCGTTACTGAAATGCGATTTGACTTTCAGCTAGGTGAGCTAAAACTCCATCACTATTTATTTCTGTTATCATCCTGACAATATACAAGTACAAAACCAGAGTACAGTAGTAGGATGCCACACTATTGTATATAAGCTCTACAACTCGTGGAGCAGAGATGGATGTCACACTATTGTATATAAGCTCTACAACTCGTGAAGCAGAGATGGATGTCACACTATTGTATATAAGCTCTACAACTCGTGGAGCAGAGATGGATGTCACACTATTGTATATAAGCTCTACAACTCGTGAAGCAGAGATGGATGTCACACTATTGTATATAAGCTCTACAACTCGTGGAGCAGAGATGGATGTCACACTATTGTATATAAGCTCTACAACTCGTGGAGCAGAGATGGATGTCACACTATTGTATATAAGCTCTACCAGTGGAGTAGTGCCGAATGCCACACTATTTACATAAGCTCTACAACCAGCGGAACAGAGCCGGATGCCACACACTTGTATACAAGCTCTACCAGTGGAGTAGAGTCGGATTCCACACTATTGTATACAAGCTTTACCAGTGGAGCAGAGCCGGATGCCACACTATTGTATATAAGCTCTACCAGTGGAGTAGAGTCGGATGCCACACAATTGTATACAAGCTCTACCAGTGGAGCAGAGCTGGATGCAACACTATTGTATACAAGCTCTACCAGTGGAGTAGAGCTGTGTGCCACACTATTGTATATAAGTTCTACCAGTGGAACAGAGCTGGGTGCCACACTATTGTATATAAGTTCTACCAGTGGAGTAGAGCCGGATTCCACACTATTGTATACAAGCTATACCAGTGGAGCAGAGCTGGGTGCCACACTATTGCATACAAGCCATACCAGTGAAGCAGAGCTGGATGCCACACTATTGTATGTATAGGCTCTACCAGTGAAGCAGAGCTGGATGCCACACTATTGTATACAAGCTCTACCAGTGAAGCAGAGCCAGATGCAACACTATTGTATGTATAGGCTCTACCAGTGGAGCAGAGCTGGATGCCACACTATTGTATACAAGCTCTACCAGTGAAGCAGAGCCAGATGCAACACTATTGTATGTATAGGCTCTACCAGTGAAGCAGAGCTGGATGCCACACTATTGTATACAAGCTCTACCAGTGAAGCAGAGCTGGATGCAACACTATTGTATGTATAGGCTCTACCAGTGGAGCAGAGCTGGATGCAACACTATTGTATACAAGCTCTGCCAGTGAAGCAGAGCTGGATGCAACACTATTGTATGTATAGGCTCTACCAGTGGAGCAGAGCTGGATGCAACACTATTGTATACAAGCTCTACCAGTGAAGCAGAGCTGGATGCCACACTATTGTATACAAGCTCTACCAGTGAAGCAGAGCTGGGTGCCACACTATTGTATGTATAGGCTCTACAAGAAGATACGCAAGACTACCTACTGTCAGTATTTCTTTAATATTTCAGTAATTTATTGTTTTCATGTCAAAGCCAATATGTTTTGACTAGCATACAAATACAATCTTCTCTGAGAAACTCTAGACTAAACATGCCATTATTATTGATAAATATATCAGAACAAATGATTATCAAATATGTATTGTGTCTTCAATAATAAAATAGAATCATCATACAGCACATTTAGAAGTCTACACACAGAAAATCACTAAATGCCACCTTATAACAGTAAAAGTCAAAATATCTTAAATGCACTTTTCTTTAAAATCTTTACGACATCAGTAGAAAATAAAACACCAAATTAACTACAACAATTTTTTGTTTGGACAACACCAAAGGTCAGATTAAACATTATGTTTGTTTAACAATAAATAAAGACATCTGACTGTTAAGGTAGGAACACCATGATTGGTGTGGTACGATTGAAGAAAAATATTGCACAATTAAAGACTTAACATTCATGAAATACTGTCCATTTTGACTTTCAATGTCCAGCCAAAGACGTCCAAAGATTTCAATACCACTATATTTGTTTGTTTGTTTGTTTACGCCGCACACAGTAACATTCCAGCTACAATGCGGCCAATAGTTGGTCCTTTGTCCCCAACACACTCACCACATTTCGTGACTGACACAACACTCAATGGTTGTATGAGGTGACTAACATACTATTTTCAAAAAGCTTCAAAAAGGCAGAGAAATTGACTCTGCTTGCATTGGTATTATCTGTCCGGAGTGAATGAATGGTGTTTATCCCGAGCCTTTGAGAGGGACTTACAGAATTAATTCATGACAGATAATCAACAATTCATAGTTTCAAGTAGATATCTTAAGTTTGAAAATGAAGCAAAAACGTGTGAGATGTCAACCCTACAATGAAACTTCAATGAAGGCACCCTTGTGTTTTAATGACATCATGTAAATCATTTGTGACATCATGAACATTGGATGACGTCACATAATATTTTTCTCAACAATGAAGCACTGTGGAGTCATATAGCTTCAACAGACCAATCAGCATTGAGCCTCACAAAAATGCACATATGCAAATATCGAAAAGTTATTACACATGATCCTTCTACCCTTATGGATAATATAACTCAATATTAAATATCAAGTATATTCATAAACACTGAAAATTGGACATGAACATTGAAATAGTACTCGAAAATAGATAATCATGATAATTGCTAGTTTCATAATTGCTTGTGGCACCTTCATATATAAAGCTTCATGCATCAGGACCACATTTCAACCAACACATAGTATTTTCCAATAACTTTCGTAACTAGAAATGCCATTTACAGTTACTTACGACAGAATTTGTTTCAAGTTGCAAGACCCTAAGACCCCTGTTATTTTGGAGAGGCAACAAAAATGTGCTGGAAACATATTTTAGTTAGGAAGCTCAGGCTCATCCCTTGTCAAAATGGTGGAAGATATCCGGTATTCACATAGGCCTCATCATATATCAAGTTATTATGGTTTTGGACAGTTTTCTCAAGGACCTGCTTGGAGATTCTTAATGCCCTTACATAAAAAAATAACTTTACCAAGGAATATATTCTCATAATACTGAAAATGTGACATCATTTCAGAAAACCTATATTACTGTATGACTTACTGATGGTATTTCACTTAGAAGATAAAAACAAAGTGTAACAAAAATATTAATTTTCACATGTTTCATCTGATGCAATACTTTGACCATATACACTGATTTTTCATTGGACTTAAGACATGCTTCAGTCAGGTCAAAACTTGAAAATCAACGTTGTGGAAACATTCAAAAGTCAAACCATTCCCACATTCCTTCATAAATAGTCAACATATTGCTTAACTATCGAACCCACAATCTTCCTGACTGGACCGAGTCTGGAGTAACTTTCTCCGCCAATAACTTATTTCCAAAGCTAGTTTTTCTTGCTCCATTGCCATTTTCTCCTTCTCTATGTCTAATCTCTCCTGCTCCAGTCTCGCATGAGCCCTCTCCTGGTCCCGAGCCAGCTCCAGACGTTCACGTTCGAGGGCAAGCTTCTGACGCTCCTGCTGCATTTCCAGAGACACTCTTTCCCGATCCATCCTCAGCTTCTCTCGCTCCACATCCTTCTCTAGGTTCAGCTTCTCCTTCTCCATGAGAATCTTCTGCATCTCCACTGCCAGCTGTTCTTGTTCCATCTTCAGTTTCTCTCGGTCAAGCTTAAGTTTCTCTCGCTCCAAGGACAAAGAGTCTCGTTCACTTGCTAACAGCTCTTCATGAAGTTTCACTGACTGATCATCAAAACGTCTCCTCTTTGCACCATCTTGAATACTGTTCTGCTTGGAACCTGATTTGTTACTTGTTGAGGTAGTTGAGGTTGTAAAAGAAGAATATGAGGTGAGGGTATCAGTTAGGATTTGAATGTCATTAGATAGATTCAGATTTCTGTTTCTGTGATTTCTTGAATGACTTGTGTTTCCCTGATTTGATGTATGTGACGATGGCTTGGATGGCAATGATCCACTGCTACCTGATCCATGAGGTCTGCTTGTTGCACTGGTGTGAGGAACATCATGTTCATTATGAGGCAGTGATCCATTGCTTGTAAATTTTGAATGCTGTAAAGATGATAATGCTGATTGACTAGAACCGTCTAACTTTGAGAGATTATTATTGCTTGATTCAGGCATGTTGATTGGCAACTGGTCATCTATTGCAGGAAGAGAGGTAGGGGTTGATACTGGAGGTATGTAGACCTGATCTTGTACACTAGACACAGAGGAGTTCTCACACTTGCTGCTCTCACCAGAAGAGTGTCCTGGACTACTCGGAAATCCTGGAACATCCTGGATACTGCCATCTTGACTGTCTTCATTGGCAAGATCTATCTCTATTTTCATGGTCTGGGGATTAATATCCAAATCTGGACCCCCATCCTCCTGAGTTTCATCAGCCATGCCCAAGATCTGGAGACTGAAGTTTGACACAGGTGGAGGAGCAAGTCCTTCAATTTGATATTTCTTAAACTTTGAGGCTTCTTTCCGAGCAGTACAGTTTAAGTTCTGCCACCGTTTCCTAATTTCGTCAACAGATCTTGAAACACCTGGTGTCATTTCATTGATACCATCACATATCAACTGCCAGACTTCCCTCTTCCTTTCATTGGTAGCACTATCTAATGCCTTCTCATTGAGAACAAACTTGTACTTGCGTACCATGTCAATGATGTACTGTGTCTCCTTAGCACTAAAATTTGGTTTTCTATTAAGTCTCTCAAACCCAAGGTCTGCCATTGCAAAGGCATCCTGCGGGCTTAGTGTCAGATTAAAACAGTTCATGGACTGATCCATGATTATTCATTATAACATTATGATATGCTTAAACACATCTTGACGTACAGTTTCTATCAGCATGATCAGGTGGTAAGTCTCATTTTCTCCACATCAGGCATTTCCTAGTGCTGTTGAACTCTTCATAGGTTAGTCTGAAACAGATACAATATACTCATAGTTTGGAATAATTTTTTATTGTAAAAGCATTACCTTTATCATAAAATAGACTTATTATCACCAATGTAGGTCATTATCCAGATCAAACAACAAACTATTTACCTCTTCAACATAACAACAACAAAAAATTAACATTTATAATGTGCCTTTACACATGACCACAGACAATGGATAAGGGTGCACTTGAATTTCATTCTCAGCTCCCTGGGGAGTATACAACCAAAGCTGCCCTATAAGGTGCTGGAATATTTTCAAACATTAAAACATCATCCAACCAGTTACCTATTCTCCGCTGACGGAGCAGAGGCATATTTCAAAGACACTTGCCTATGCAGACAGCACAAGAAACGTGTGTTTTAATTGAGTTGATGAGAACCATGCCCAACAACCTCTCAGGAGAAGTTTGCTGAACATCCACCCACTCTTCTTAACCAACCTTGCTTAAAGGGCAAGTAAACTGATAAAATGACAGCGATTTTGTTGAGATTATCAATTTTCCTTGATACATTTAGTCAATTTCTGAGAGAAAAGTTCATAATATTCATAGAAAGTACTTAAATGTCAAAGTGAAAGTGCTCAAATCACACGCTCCATAATCAGGTTATAAAACAAACCTATTTTGGGACTTGGCCTAAAGCTACCTGCTGAGCAGTGCAGCAGTTCGGGACAAATGTTTTCATGAGCTTACATGTAGACTTATTTGTCGTGTTCAGTGCCTCACTCAGCAATATTCCGGCTATATGACGGTGGTCTGTAAATAATCAAGTCTGAACCAGTCAATCCAGTGATTGACATCATGAGCATCGATCTACGGAATTGGAATATGATGACATGCATCAACGAGTCTGACAACCCGATCCCGTCAGTCGCCTTTTATGACAACCATAGTTGCCTTTTACGGCAATTATGGGTTGCTGAAGACCTATTCTACCCTGGATCTTCATGGGTCTACTTTCTTTTGATATTAACAGCTACACATATAATACTGTTCCTGCTCTTTCTGTTAATCCGACAAAAACAACATTGCATACATCGTTGAATGTGTGCAACATCCCTTTTGATCTTGATATTGTGATATTGTGAGTAATAAAATTAGAAACTAACCATCTGTACCGGTAACTAGGTTTTTAGGACGAACATCCTGTTTGGGTACAATAAACAGCCTGTTTCCCTGTTCTATTCCTCACAATGAATGCCTGTCACTAGTGTCAGGAATTAATCCTGACATCTTCTATGTTGTTACTAATGAAGCAACTTTGACATAACTTATAGAAATGGTAACCCAACGGGTGAGCAGACAGAAAATGCCACATAATGCGATTTAATAAATCTGAACGCTGGCCCGAATTCCATCAGGGGCAGATTTTTTTACTGGGGGACGATTTCACCTGTCATTTTTTATCATCTGATTTACCCAATTACCAATCTCAATAAAATCAAATCTTAGTTCTCGCTACCGCTAAACAAAGATCTGAGGACCTCCCATTACAGGTCAGGTCAGGATGACCTTTCATCTGACCTATCAGAGCGATGCTTAGCAGGTTGGGAAAGTGACATTTAAATGTGTTTTCTAATCATGCAAGTGAGTGAGTGAGCGAGTATGGTTTAACGCCGCTTTAAGCAATATTCCAGCAATATCTCGGTGGGGACACCAGAAATGGGCTTCACACATCGTACCCATGTCTGGAATCAAACTGGGGTCTTCAGCGTGACGAGTGAACGCTTTAACCACTAAGTTACCAGACCGCCCCCCTAATCATGCACAGGGTATTATGAACTACAGTTACATGTTGTACGTCTAAGTCTCGCTACAGACTTACCAAAGCTTGTCGAAAGTACTGCCATACAATACTGGCCATCTATTGAACATTCAAGGATTTTCTTTTGTTACGTTTCCAAATTTTGAATCAATATTTTTCAGAGCGTAGTCTGGAACAGAAATCGCTTTTATCATTAGATATATTTGACAAAGAGACATTGCTTCTAGATTCTACATGTTCTTTGTCCATGTGATTACGACAATCATTTTTTGCAAGACTGACCTAAATGATAAAGATATTTATCCAATGCTGCTTGGGCTGAAATTTGGCAGAAACCTAATAGTTACTGGCAACAGAGGATGGCAATGGCACAAGTTTACCAAAATTTGGCACTGGCATGATAAATACTGACCACTATAATAAGTTAATTACACGCGTAATTTAGAATCATTTTGCAGTTATTCAGTGCCAGCTTAATAATGATCACAACAGCATGGACCAGACCAGTGTATACAACCTTGGATTGTCAGAACAGTATCCGATGGTGGTGAATGATCTGCACGTTTTGGAACAGTAAGATTATCAATTCAGATGTAAGCACTGGACAGGCCTGCACACATGCCATAACTGCATGTCCGGCACGTTTGATTTGTTTACACACCATTATGATGTCCAATATACACTGTATACGGGTGTTCATAATGCATATCCAGTTTCAGATTTCTTCAACCATATTCTTCCACATTTGCACAAATAACATTTGTGATTTCTGCCCATTTCCTCTCGATAAATACGGTCAGCGAACTCGTTGCTCTGTATTTCCGATTTGTTTTGTCAAGTGTTGTATTAAGCCGAGTCCTCACGATGTAAGGAGCTTTTGCGGTTGTTTTGTATCGAGCAAACTGAAAGTTGTACTCGGAAAACATTCTGAAAACGGAATTATATATGCGTTTTCAATATTCCGCTATGTGTTAATATTTACTTAATAATATTAATTATTATTCAGTTCCAATATAAAAAATGTCCCAGTTTGGCTACGAGTTCAAAGTCAATTGTGTCAACCAATTCACCGCATCCCCGGTCGTTGGGTACACTCTAAATCTATGTGTTCTAATATAGAACTCTGGACGCGTCCATACGTTCTGCCACAGAATACGAATGTTCTTATTCGGGGAGCAAGTGTTCTATTTCTGAACGCCTGTGATCTTTTGTAGAACGCGTGTGTTCTCTCCTGGGAGAAGTCCATGCACATTAGCAGAGATAATGTACTGACTATTGTTAGACAAATTTAAATTCGACCATATATTTGTGTTTTCGGAATATTTATTTTTGAGAAGAAGAGAGGCTGGTAGATTGGTAAGTCAAACAGAAAATGTGTCATATTTTGAGTTTGATGAATGATAAATAGTTTATAAACATGGCATACCTTGTGTTCATAATAACTCATATGTAGCCTGACTAAATACAACAAGAAACATTACTGAAATACAACTCATTGCTAATACATGGAAATAACTTACTTGCATTATGGGACATTTACGTGTATCAGAACACTGGCATTCTGATGGCTAATTTTACCTGGATATTTTATGGGGTCTATGGAACATATACGGTCTATTTGCTGAACACATGCGTTCTCTCCTAGAACGCATGTGTTCTGCTATGTTCTATAGTGATAAGCAGCACACTAATGTTACAGGGGAGAACACGTGTTCCATTAATAGAACATAGGGGTTCTATTTATCTAACTAGCATTCGAAGCTGCCCATGTCCTGTGAACCACATCCGTTATGTGAGAAACTGACGTGACGTAGCATGTATTTGGTGCTACAATTTCCTATCATCTGAGGGGTATCTGTGGTAAGTATCCATCTAGGAATAATTTTGTTTCATATTTAATCCTTACCTAAAATTGTGTAATATTTCGGCGATATATTCATATGCTGATTGCATGCGAAGTAAAACCGGCCCCTTACGAAACTTATAGCAGACGACATATTCCCCGCCATTTTGACCGTCATTTCTGCCATTGTTCCACAAGCATTATTTGCAAATTGTGAGATGAAATCCCAATCCAAACTGCACTTGTGACATTTTGAAAGTTTCCGTTTATTTGAATGATGTTCAAATAAAATGAATATATATTTCAGGTTCTATATGAATCGCCTGAAAGTACGAAGCGGGCAACAAATCTCATGCAACAAATCTCTGAAGATCTAAATTTGGGATCCGAGGGCATGATCAGCATGCATCGACAATGCATCGAATCAGCAGAGAGTAGGGTAAGTATGTAATGAACAAAAAGAATTAAACCTTCACAGGACATGTTTTGGGCTATTTTATGTGAAATATTTTAAAAGAGTCTTGTTGTTTCTATTACAGGTTGCATTGCAGATAATCAGTACCATCCTTGGAAATTATTGCACACAGCACACGTCTACGCAAAGGAGGAAAAGAAACAAGGTTTTTCAGATCAAATAAGAAGGTACTTGTGTATATTTTGGTCTAGTCTTTATCCAAGTAAGTGATAACTTTGTCAAATAACATTTTGGGCAAAACACTTTGCAACCTATAAATAATGAAACAAATGTCACGGTAATCTTGCGTTTACTAACGAACATTTGTTAGAATAATGTCTTATGTAATATGTACGAGTTTGATAACTATATGACTATGACCAAATAAATGTTTGGTGTTGTAGGATGTTGCGGAGTCGTATTTGACATGAAGTTTCCTGAAGCATGCGATGGTCATGTCGCTGTTACGAACAACGTCCTTGGGGATATTTACCCACAAGAAACATCTGCGAAGTACTTGCGCTTCGTGAAAGACTTGACACTTAAGTTATCTTAAGTATGGAAGTATGCTTCACTTTGCTACATGACAGTTTGTAATGTTTCATGAAGAACTCTGACTAACATATTTAAGTGACTTGAATATCCATGATCATGACAAATAAATGTAATAAAGAATTCATGGTTGCAGTTCAGAATTTCGTCCGTGTGATTTTATGCCAGAGAATATGTATGGGTGTATGGTTCATATTCCTACGCCTTGAAAAAACATCGGGTAAATTGTATTCGACAACACACGATGAGTTGTCATTTCAGTACTGTGGAAGTACGTGTCCGAGAACATGTAGTGTTCTGAATCTCGGTCCAGAACACTTTACAGGCGTTCTAAAAGTGTTACATCGTCAGAACACGTTGAAGCGTTCTAAATATGTTTGTAGAACACTCCTGTTCTAGGTCGAGAACATCAACGTTCAGAATATTTTCAGAACACTTGGACGCGTTCTAAAAGTGTTACATCCATGTGTTCTGTCTAGTGTTCAGAAGTAGAACACTTGGGTTTAGAGTGTATATGATGTGTTTGTGTCCAGTTTTCCAAGATATGTGTAAACACAAAGCAAGGTCATGTATTAATTAATGGTGAAAGATGAAACAATGTAAGATCAAAACAAATAAAGTATTCATGAGTGAGTGGATGAATGGTAATAGCGTGATATTCAGCAAGGATATCCATCGAACCAGATCTAGCTTTGTCATTATCCGTGTTAAGTGAGAGTATGTCTATACACCAAAAATGTACAATTAAACTGATTTTATTAAATCGGGGCAGGTATTTCAAGGGCGGCTAAGATTATAAAATAGCGTTTCTCGTGAAAATATCTATATAATAAGAAATCTGCCGAAAAACTTTTTATAAATAAATTTTTTTATAAACGCCGCATTCAGCAATATTCCAGCATTTCGACGGCGGCCTGTTTACAAATAATCGAGTCTTGACCAGACAAATCGTCGCAAAAGAAATCTTGGAGCTTAAAAATCCGATCCATTAAGCCAACTTGTTCTATAACCCGGGATGCCCATGTGGTACCGAAATACAATGAAAAAAGCACACGTAAACAAAGCCCTATAAAAGAATTGTATTTGTACTGATTCGATAAGCCGTTGCACCATTTCGCAGCCTTATCAAATCTCTGTCACGATATTGTTTGTTTGTTTTCTGTTTAACGCCGCACTCAGCAATATTCGAGCTATATGACGGCGGTCTGTAAATAATCGAGTCTGGACCTGACAGTCAAATGATTGACATCATGAGCAGCGATCTAGCAATGTCGCTTTTAGCAATATTCCAGCAATATCACGGCGGGGGACACACGAAAGGGCTTCACAAATTGTACCCATGTCGGGAATCGAACCCGTTTCTTCGTCGTGACGAGCGAACGCTTTAACCACTAGACTACCCGACCGACCTGGGTTGCTGAAGATCTTCACGGGTCATGTAAATGATCGAGTCTTGACTAGGATAGCCAGTGGTTGCAAGCGTGTAAAACGAAACGAGGTACGATGCCAAACAATCAGCCTGCTAACATGTTTAACATACACTCTTCAAAAAAAGAAACGCACAGGTAGTATGTAGTTCGTTGAATCTGACTACACACAAAATCCGGTATATAAAATGGATCTATATTATTGGAAAATGTTGGTGGCCTGATATTCGACAAACGGTGCGTCAAATCGCAGGCATTGTCGATTTTCAATGTCTTAAACGGCATTGTTTCACGCTTGTTCAAAACTGTCATGGAGGAAAACAGTAAAGCAAAATGCACGTGCAAGTTATGGCATTCGTAACTCGTGGTAGTGGCTATAAAAGGCAAGCATAAGCCAATAATTTTTCATTAGATTGTCAACATTTGTCAAATTCGAAAATGCCGAGACTCAGCGCTGCCGATCAGAACATCGCCATAGGACGTATCCAAAGAGGGGAATCGCAGTCTTCTGTTGCACGCCACTTCAACGTCCACCACAACACCATTTGACGCCTTTGGGACCGATACTCACAGTTCAATTCCACTGCAGACCGTCCGAGAACCGGCCGACCAAGCGTTACCACCCCTGCACAGGATCGCTACATTCGACTGTTCCACCTACGTCATCACAATGCCACAACTACGGAGACTGCAGGACGCATCCCTGGTTTGAGGAGGATATCGGACCAGACTGTCAGGAACCACCTTCGCGAGGCTGGAATCCGACCCAGAAGACCAATTATCGTCCCTGTTTTCCAACAGATCCATCGACAGCGACGCTTGCGTTGGTGCCATACCTTACAGCCTTGGAATTTGAGAAAGTGGAGACGAGTGTGGTTAAGCGATGAATCACGATTTCTTCTTCACCGGCGAGATGGAAGACAACATGTTTATCGTCGTCGAAATGAACGATTTGCCCAACATTGTGTACGTGAATTCGACAATTGGCGGTGGCGGTAGTGTCATGGTGTGGGAGCCATATCCTACACCACGAAATCTGACTAGGTTGTGGTTCAGGGACATTTGACAGCATTGACCGACAGGGGGGAGCTATTTCAATAGGACAACGCTCCACCGGACACAACTCGTGTCACGGTAGACTACCTTCATAATGCCAACATCAACGTCATGCCCTGGTCGTCGAGATCTCCAGATCTCAGCAAAATCGAATACCTCTGGAATGAACTCGATCGACGTGTACGTCAACGTCGGAACACGCCGCAGACACTCCCTCAACAGGTCAACGCGTTACAATCAGAATGGCGCAGAATTCCGCAGGACAAAATTCGTACACATATCCAATCAGTGCCGAGGTGATGCAGAGCCGTGATTGCTGCCCGGGGCGGTCACATGAGATACTGAGTTCGGCGCAACCTTGTGGCCTTATGTGACATGACAATGAATAGTTTTCAATGCCTTTGTACAACGACAACATGTGAGTATCGAGCTTCAAAATTTCATATTTGTACCTATGATATTAAATTAAATATATCGACTTTAATAGGTATAATAAATTTACTAAAAGTCTATCTGTGTGTTTCTTTTTTTGAAGAGTGTATTTAAAAATCAACCTTTTCTGCTTACTGTGGGAGGAACGCCTGAAGTGATGCAGGTCTTAGACGTTGTTCACTTTGGTGAAACCCATGGGCCCGGGTATGGTGCTGACAAACCTAGAAACATAATCAGGGCACCGAGATTCTCAACCGAAATCATAGGTTTCTGGCCTGCCCAAGGGACGCAACTTTGCACATCGAATTGAAACGCCTTATAGATGACTGGCCCACCCGTGTCCCTTGACTAACATCTTGTCTCTGAAATGAACATTTCTTACACAAAAAACAGTTGTTAAATTATAGCTATAAAATATAATAAAAAGAAGCCCAGTGACTTTCTTCATTTTGCAGTAATCTGGACTTGCCAAACATTATAGACTTGCATGGGCTGTATTGGATATATTTGTTTCAGTGTATGACAGACTACCGTGACCCCTGCAAATTAAGATATTGGTTCCGTCCGTAACAAAGATGAGAGGTGGATAACGCTTGTTGCAGACTGAGAACCTAATCCCCGAGACGTTGCACTCTTATAAAATAATGGCCGAGGGGTGGCATGAAATCATTGGCGGAGTTTTGTTTATGGGAACAAGTAAACATAGAGCCACATGGGTCTGTAGCTCACATGAACTATGACAAAACAATGGCTGTCATGTTTCAAGTCTGAATTGATGTTTCTGTGCAAGTTTTAGAAAGACCAAAGCTGAGATCATTCATGCAAAGTTTCAGCGCCATAGGCCACTTAGTCTCAGCTTGTTTGTTTTTTAACACTGCACTCAGCAATATTCCATAATCCAAAAATAATGGAGTCTGGAGCAGGCAATCCACCTATTGATATTGTGAACCACGATTCATGGATTCATGGCATATGGTTACGAATACGTTATACTGCATACCAAGCCATCTGTTTCAGCACAATTGTGTCTGGGGACTCACTTACAGTACCACAAAGTACCACAGACTTTGGTAACTGCTGATCAACTCAGCAAATCCATTCCATACTTGACAGAATACTGAGTGAGTGAGTGAGTGAGTGAGTGAGTGAGTGAGTGAGTGAAAGTGAATGAGTGAGTGAGGTTTGATGCCGCTTTTAGCAATATTTCAGCAATATCACGGTGGGGGACATCAGAAATGGGCTTCACACATTATACACATGTGAGGAATCGAGCCATGTCTTTCCATGACGAGTGAACGCTTTAACCAGTAGACTACCCCACTGCCCCCAGTTACATTGCCTGCAAATAATTGAGGCTGGACCAGATACTTCAGATATTGATATTGTAAGAAATGATCCAAAGCTGTCCAGTAAGATCACCAAGTCACCAAGCTTGACCACCCAATCTTTTAAGACTCCTCTTACAACCAGCATAGGTTGCTGGTAATCTGTTTTAACCCCAATGTAATAAGGAGGCATTGTGCCTTCAAAATTTCAGAGTAAGTGAATGAGTATTGTTCAACACTTTGAAAAGTATTTCAGCTGTCAGCTTGTGTTTAGGAAAGCCTGAAGTGGTGCAGATCTTTATGAAACTCACCATTTGCTCACCAGCACATGTATTGTGCTGAAGTATCATAATCTGGTCGAAACTGGGATTCAAACCCTCAATGATAGGATCCTGGCATATGTAAGGGATACAACTCTGATATACCAGCAGTGAAGTAAACAAACTCAAGTGTTGAGGTACATTGCTTTATTAACCATTTGACAGATCTGCCTTTGAAGCAGAAACAAAAGGCCATTGCTATAAAGACAATTTAGAGGTCTCATGCTTAAACATATGCTTGACAAAGTACTATAATGTAAGAGCGAGAGTCTGGCAAAATACCAAAGAGATAGAATGAGTTTTCAGAAAAGCTTCAGTATATATACATAGTTTTATGTAAGCATACTACAGATTGTGTTACCCCAACAGTCCCCTATTCATTGCTTAACCATGAATTTGGCATTCTCCATTACAGCAGGACAAAATAAGTGGTGACGAGGAAAGAATGACTCACATTTGAGACAGTGGTTTTAGTGATTATAAGCATGATAAGTCCAAGAAATTTAATTACAGTGTAATCCTGTTAATTTGGACGGTACTGTTTGAAGTGAAATTGTCTGGATAATCCAATTCCTGTATTAATGAATCCTGGTTTAAAAGTGTTTGTGTTATCAAGATAGTCCAGGAGATAGTCCTATTCTAAAGGTTTGTATCAATATTCCTGGAACTTGCAACTTTTGACAAAATGATTCTTTAAACATTTTATCATCATGTTCACAATTACATCTTATATTTATTTTATTTAGGTCATATTTTCAATTTCCACAATTTAATTTTTTCTATCTCGATAGCGTGGATCGTTGTTCATATTATCAATGTCTGGATTGCTTTGTCCAGACTCAATTATTAACAGGCAACCATTATATGTATATATAACTGGAATATTGCTGAATGTGGCATTAAACAACAAACAAACAAACATCAGTAATTCATTAGACCAGTCTTAAAATATGAACTATTCACAGCTAAGCATATCAACATGATAGATTTACAGAAACTTCAATTTGGGCTGTACATTAGAGTGAGTGAGTTGGGTTTAACGCCGCTTTTAACAGTATTACAGTTATATCGTGGCGTGTCAGCTTAATGTGTGAGGAAAGCCCGAAGTGATGCAGGTCTCAGACGTTTATTACTTATGGTGCCTTAGATGACTGGCCACCCGTGTCCCCACTGTACATTAGAGGGGAAGGCTGCACACTGCTGTATCATGGTGGCTTGAAGATTCGGTCAGCCATGACCATGATCCCTGTGTGGAACATTTCTCTTCTTTTACCAGTCACTTGATAGTTGCAAATTCCTTTTATTGAAACGCCCACTTTACTTCTGATGATTGTTTATTGCAGCAAATCAAACACTCATAGAATGTTGTTAGCTGTTGTGGTTAGGTTTATATTCAGTGGTATGCCCACAGCAGTTCATAAAGAAGAGTGACCTCCCTTAGTTGTTTCTAGTCCAAACTTTGTCCCAGCACCTGACACCTTCGTTACCCTCCTGCTCTGCTGTTTGTTTACAGTTACTGACACTGGGTTTCAACTACACAGTTTGATACATTTCTTTAAGGTTGGCTGTTCCTTTAGGAGAGTGAGACGAGGGCGATTTGAGGCCTCTTTCTTTGACCCCACTTGCATCTCATCTACATACCGAGTGTGGACTGGACCTATGGGAACATCAACTTACTGCCTGCTTCCTGGGTTCAAGAATGGAGCATGCACCTCATTCAAGACAATCGTCTGTGACTTGTGACATATTCTGGACATTTGAGTGCACTGACTTGTGTAATAGGGTCTGTCATTTATTGCTGGTGCTACCGGTACATATTTTGACTCATTCTATTGCCTTTCATGACTGCTGTGTTAACCATGGTGTCTCAACATGGGAATTGACACTTAACACTGAAGTACCAGTATTGCAAACACAGGAGACAACTTAGCCGACACAGAGATGGTATTTTAATAAATGAAATAAATACATTCAGAAAAGTTGGCAATCCTCTTCTATGGCCATCAGTGTTGATCAGGCAGGGTGTATTTCTACTGGGTCATGTCTTCTCAGGTTTGCTGTAGTGTAGACCAGTGTGCCCTTTTGCCCAAGGCTCAGCAGGATGTAACAGCAGGATCACTACATGATGGGAACAAGCCCAGACATGTCACAATACAAGGCTTACATGATATTTACAGTATATTACATCAGAGCACTACTAAACGACCAAACAGTGACGTTTTTAGATTTGTCTCTTAAAAATCACTGTTGCCATGACGAGTAAGAAGCTGTTTTGTCCCACAAATTGTGTGTAGAGGTGAAAAAAGAGTCCAAGTATGATATTCAGTGACAACTAAATATCTTTTCCGTTTCCTCTTGTGTTTTCTGCTGGAGTACCCTTGTATCTGCAACCACCTCCTGTAGTCTCTCCTGAAGTGAAAAGTAAGGGAGTTAGAGCTCCACCAGTATTTTAGTTATATCACGGCATGTCAGCTTAAGTGGGAGGAAAGCCTGAAGTGATGCAGGTCTTAGATTTTTACCAGTTTGGTGAAACAACCAAGTTTGACAAACCAGGTCAAACCAGGATTCAAACCCACTGCTATGGGATAACATTTCAGTGATGACTATTATTTGCAGGAACTGGGCTAGAGGTGACAGTAAATATACGTATGAAACCAAAATATATGGTGGCAATTTAGAAATTTGGTAGTAATGGATATGAACTAGATAACACAGAAGAAACGTGTTTGCTTCCTATAGCTGTTCAGTTTTCCATTGACTGGGGTATGTTGGGTTCAATGCCCCTTTAACAGTATTTCACTGTTGTGTCACTATCAGGGTTATGTGTTCAAGGTTCAAAGTGATGCAGACTGTCGACATTATTAGTGACAAAACCACTATCATAGATAGGGTGCTTATAGCTACGTAATGAAGGTTGAAGTGGAACAAGCAAAGTCTTACTGAAATAGCTGTTTTGTGGGCCACGACTTCCCGGATGACTGTGTCCAGGAACTCCACCGACCTCTGATCCTCATCCAACAAGTCAATCTTCCTCTGTTCAGCTCTGAGGAAAAGGAACAACGCATAAATGATAGTTTCATTCAATTACAACAGATTTTTCTTCAGACAAGGGTAATTTTTTACATGTTTAACAAGGATGTCTGACAACAGCACTGATCCACTGTTCTGTACATTCACTACAGACATGCCCTGACACTGGTCCACTGATCTGTACATTCAATACAGATATGCCCTGACACGGGTCCACTGATCTGTACATTCATTACAGACATGCCCTGACACTGGTCCACTGATTTGTACATTCACTTCTGACATGCCCTGACACTGGTCCACTGATCTGTACATTCACTACAGACATGCCCTGACACTGGTCTACTGATCTGTACATTCACTACTGACATGCCTCGACACTGGTCTACTGATCTGTACATTCACTACAGACATGCCCTGACACTGGTCTACTGATCTGTACATTCACTACAGACATGCCCCGACACTGGTCTACTGATCTGTACATTCACTACTGACATGCCCTGACACTGGTCTACTGATCTGTACATTCACTACTGACATGCCCCGACACTGGTCTACTGATCTGTACATTCACTACTGACATGCCCTGATACTGGTCTACTGATCTGTACATTCACTACAGACATGCCCCAACACTGGTTCACTGATCTGTACATTCACTACTGACATGCCCTGACACATTCACTACAGACATGTCCTGACACTGGTCCACTGATCTGTACATTCAATACAGACATGCCCTGACACTGGTCGACTGATCTGTACATTCACTTCTGACATGCCCTGACACTGGTCCACTGATCTGTACATTCATTACAGACATGCCCTGACACTGGTCCACTGATCTGTACATTCACTACTGACATGCCCCGACACTGGTCCACTGATCTGTACATTCACTACTGACATGCCCTGACACTGGTCCACTGATCTGTACATTCAATACAGATATGCCCTGACACTGGTCCACTGATCTGTACATTCATTACAGACATGCCCTGACACTGGTCCACTGATTTGTACATTCATTTCTGACATGCCCTGACACTGGTCCACTGATCTGTACATTCACTACAGACATGCCCCAACACTGGTCTACTGATCTGTACATTCACTACTGACATGCCTCGACACTGGTCTACTGATCTGTACATTCACTACAGACATGCCCTGACACTGGTCTACTGATCTGTACATTCACTACAGACATGCCCTAACACTGGTCCACTGATCTGTACTTTCACTACAGACATGCCCTGACACTGGTCCACTGATCTGTACATTCACTACAGACATGCCCTAACACTGGTCCACTGAATTGTACATTCACTACTGACATGCCCTGACACTGGTCCACTGATTTGTACATTCACTACTGACATTGGTCCACTGATCTGTACATTCACTACAGACATGCCCTGTGTTTCCTTAATGCATAAAATTCAGTCTTCAAATCCAAGGGTTCTTTGCTGCTGAATTATGGGACCCCCTAAATTTTCAATGTCTATCAATAGTGTAATCGCAAGAAGCCCAATACCCTCTGGCTTACTTTTGAACACTGAAATTCCTCCCCTTTTCAAATAAACATTTTGAATACCCTGACTTGAGACTTACAGTTTGACTGCATCCTTGAACTCCTTCTGTGTCTCCTGCCGACAGAGTTGCGAGGACTTCCTGCCGTTGTCCCACATCTTCTGTTTGAGCTCGATATCCTCCAAGATGTTCTGAACCTCTTGCTGAAAGCTCTGTGAAACAGGAGGGTTAGTTAGTTCTCGACTAGGGACTTGATACCAACCAAAACATACAGCAGTTGACAAAAGGGTAAGACTTCTCCTTTAGAAAAAATATGTCGCTGTAACAACAAAAATGTATGTTTACAAACTACAAAAATTATATCTGGCAAATATTAGAAAAGTATTGTCTATGAGAGAGTGAATGGTGCTTTATGCACTCACTGATCCCACCATCACCCATCTCACTCCATCTCAACCCCACTCACTGATCCCACCATCATCCATCTCACTCCATCTCAACCCCACTCACTGATCCCTCCATCACCCATCTCACTCCATCTCAACCTCACTCACTGATCCCATCACCACCCATCTCAACCCCACTCACTGATCCCACCATCATCCATCTCACTCCATCTCAACCCCACTCACTGATCCCCCCATCACCCATCTCACTCCATCTCAACCCCAGTCACTGATCCCATCACCACCCATCTCAACCCCACTCACTGATCCCACCATCATCCATCTCACTCTATCTCAACCTCACTCACTGATTCCACCATCACCCATCTCACCCTCACTCACTGATCCTACCATCACCCATCTCATTCCATCTCAACCCAACTAACTGATCCCATCACCACCCATCTCTATATCCATCTCAACCCAACTCACTGATCCCACCATCACCCATCCCACTCCTTCTCAAACTCACTCACTTATCCAATCACCACACATCTCTATCTCCATCTCAACCCCACTCACTGATCCCATCACCACCCATCTCTATCTCAACCCCACTCACTGATCCCATCACCACCCATCTCTATCTCCATCTCAACCTCACTCACTGATCCCATCACCACCCATCTCTATCTCCATCCCACTCACTGATCCCATCACCAGCCATCTCTATCTCCATCTCAACCTCACTCACTGATCCCACCATCACCCATCTCTATCTCAACCCCACTCACTGATCCCACCATCACCCATCTCTATCTCCATCTCAACCCCACTCACTGATCCCATCACCACCCAACTCTATCTCAACCCCACTCACTGATCCCACCATCACCCATCTCTATCTCCATCTCAACCCCACTCACTGATCCCATCACCACCCATCTCTATCTCAACCCCACTCACTGATCCCACCATCACCCATCTCTATCTCCATCTCAACCCCACTCACTGATCCCATCACCACCCATCTCTATCTCCATCTCAACCCCACTCACTGATCCCATCACCACCCATCTCTATCTCCATCTCAACCTCACTCACTGATCCCATCACCACCCATCTCTATCTCCATCTCAACCTCACTAACTGATCCCACCATCACCCATCTCTAGCTCCATCTCAACCCCACTCACTGATCCCACCATCACCCATCTCTATCTCCATCTCAACCCCATTCACTGATCCCACCATCACCCATCTCTATCTCCATCTCAACCCCACTCACTGATCCCACCATCATCCATCTCAACCTCACTAACTGATCCCATCACCACCCATCTCTATCTCAACCCCACTCACTGATCCCACCATCACCCATCTCTATCTCCATCTCAACCCCATTCACTGATCACATCACCACCCATCTCTATCTCCATCTCAACCTCACTCACTGATCCCACCATCACCCATCTCTATCTCCATCTCAACCCCACTCACTGATCCCATCACCACCCATCTCTATCTCAACCCCACTCACTGATCCCACCATCACCCATCTCTATCTCCATCTCAACCCCATTCACTGATCCCACCATCACCCATCTCTATCTCCATCTCAACCCCATTCACTGATCCCATCACCACCCATCTCTATCTCCATCTCAACCCCATTCACTGATCCCATCACCACCCATCTCTATCTCCATCTCAACCCAATTCACTGATCCCATCACCACCCATCTCTAGCTCCATCTCAACCCCATTCACTGATCCCATCACCACCCATCTCTATCTCCATCTCAACCCCATTCACTGATCCCATCACCACCCATCTCTATCTCCATCTCAACCTCACTAATCCCATCACCACCCATCTCTATCTCAATCTCAACCTCACTCACTGATCCCACCATCACCCATCAATATCTCCATCTCAACCCCACTCACTACCCATCTCTAGCTCCATCTCAACCCCACTCACTGATCCCACCATCACCCATCTCACTCCATCTCAACCCAACTCACTGATCCCACCATCACCCATCTCTAGCTCCATCTCAAACCCACTCACTGATCCCACCAACACCCACTTCCATTTCACTGATCACACCACTTTCACCCATCTCAATCTCAACCCTACTCACTGATCCCACACCCATACACTCTGATCCAACCTCCACCCACCTCTTTTTCAGTCTTGTACTCCTCATCGGCTATGTTCAGATTCTTTTCCATCACCCTGACAGCATCCTGCTGCTCTGTTACGAGCTCAGATAGCTGCTCCAAGGAATCCTGCTGGATCAATAACTGCCGCGACTTCTCATTTAAGCTGACATTGCACTGTTTCTTCAGCTGCATCAGTGCAGGTTTGATCGTACTGTCAAAGTCAACAGTCATTGTGTTCTGGTATGAAGTCTTCAGTTCATAGTCAACGCCACATGCATTCTCAGCTGACACTGGGACAAGCTTCAAACCATGAGCCATTTTATTGTATTCACTGCTCTTCGTTTCCATCTGAAAACAGATACTACATATTTTCAACACAATAAAGATGCATCATATCAATCAAGTGATCAAAACCAGTCCAACATTGTCCATAGACAACTCCACATGAAAAATGGTCTTGCATGACAAAGCCATGACAAACTCATGAAAACTGAAGGGCATACTCATTTTAAACGTAATATGTAAGTGAGTGAGTTGGTTTATAGCTGCTATGAACAATATTTCTGTTATATCATGGTGTGTCCGCTTGATGTGAGAGTAAACCTCATGTGATGTAAGTCTGACGTTTAACACTTTGGTGAAACCCAGGAGGATGGGTATGGTGCTGACAAACATTATCAGGGCTAAACTTCCCTTTAAACATGTTCAACTCTCATAATGCTATTTAGAATGAACACTTTATTTATTTAAGTCCTTTCATCATCATGTCACATCATATTACTCAAACACTAACCAAACAAAAAGTCAACCTCACCCGTTCTCTGGACTTAGCCATGTTCATCTCTTCCTTCCAGTTGTCAAGGTCGTCCTGCTCAATCTCCTTGTCCAGGGCGTCAATCTGCCGCTGTAGTTCCTGCCGGTTCAGCTTCAGGCGCTCCACATCTGCGGGGGTCAGGTTCTGTGTCTCGTAGATTGCCTGCATGTGCTTGTTCTTTTGTTCCACTGACCTGTATTCAGCCTCTGCAGCAGGAGGGAGAAGGTCAAACATGAACATCTTACTTATCACAAGCTTCATTTTCTTAGTGAGACATTAAGACCTCCATTATCATCATCTTACTCTCACCCACATCACTGACCTAGACATCCATTGTCATCCTCTCACCCAACCCCACGTCACTGACCTAGACATCCATTGTCATCCTCTCACCCAACCCCACGTCACTGACCTAGACATCCATTGTCATCCTCTCACCCAACCCCACGTCACTGACCTAGACCTCCATTGTCTTCCTCTCACCCAACCCCATGTCACTGACCTAGACATCCATTGTCATCCTCTCACCCAACCCCACGTCACTGACCTAGACATCCATTGTCATCCTCTCACCCAACCCCACGTCACTGACCTAGACATCCATTGTCATCCTCTCACCCAACCCCACGTCACTGACCTAGACATCCATTGTCATCCTCTCACCTAACCCCACGTCACTGACCTAGACATCCATTATCATCATCTTACTCAACCCCACGTCACTGACCTAGACATCCATTGTCATCCTCTCACCCAACCCCACGTCACTGACCTAGACATCCATTGTCATCCTCTCACCCAACCCCACGTCACTGACCTAGACATCCATTGTCATCCTCTCACCCAACCCCACGTCACTGACCTAGACATCCATTATCATCATCTTACTCAACCCCACGTCACTGACCTAGACATCCATTGTCATCCTCTCACCCAACCCCACGTCACTGACCTAGACATCCATTGTCATCCTCTCACCCAACCCCACGTCACTGACCTAGACATCCATTGTAATCCTCTCACCCAACCCCACGTCACTGACCTTGAACTCCTCCCTCACCCAACCCCCGTCACTGACCTGGACCTCCTCCCTCACCCAAACACAGGTCACTGACCTATACCGCCATTGTCCTCCTCCCTCACCCAATCACAGGTCACTGACCTAGACCTCCTCCCTCACCCAATCACAGGTCACTGACCTAGGCTGCCATTGTCCTCCTCCCTCACCCTATCACAGGTCACTGACCTAGACCGCCATTGTCCTCCTCCCTCACCCAATCACAGGTCACTGACCTGGACCTTCTCCCTAACCCAATCACAGGTCACTGACCTGGACCTCCTCCCTCACCCAATCACAGGTCACTGACCTAGACCTCCATTGTCCTCCTCCAGCTCCCTCTGCTGGACTTCCAGCTTGTGCCGGTAGGATGACATCTCCTCCAGGTACTGGTCAAACCTTGTCATGTCACTCCGCACAACCTCACGCTGCTCTTGTAGACCAACCAGTCGATCCTGATAAACATGGAGTCAGGAAGTAAGTCAATGTTGCACTACCCGCTTATGCCTGTAAAGGACAAGTCTGACCCAGTGGTTGATAGTATGAGCAACAATATACACCACTGGGCCAGGATGACACCAAATCGGCAAAGTTACACATTCTCAAGTTGTATCTCATAATCAAGATATAAAATGTGTCTAGCCAAAATCTGTTGTGTATCAGATGATGGTTAGGTCCCAAACTGTCATAGTAAGCTCATGATGGTACGTTTGCTTCAACCAAGTTTACTGAATACCTAAAATTGGGGAATAAGAAAATGATAAAAAAACAACCCAACAATTTCATCTCAAACAGTACCTCAGTTCCCCCATAATATGCCATGTGTCTTACCCCGTCCTGTTCAAGTAGTTCCAGCTCCTGCTTGAGACGTGCATTTTCTGCGATGAGGGCATCAATACCACCTCCTGTGCCCTGGTACTTGTCCTCTGGAATGGACAAGACATGAGCATTTAAAATCATTATTACATTGTTTTTTCAAAAAACCTGTATTTACATAAGGATGTACCAACTATTCATTTAGATGTGACAGCAGGACAATCCCCCCTTGTTTAAGCTTTACTGGCCCTGGATCCAGCTGAGCCCATAAGAGGCAAGTCACTTACTTAGCATCCTCGACAATTCCTCATCATAGGCATCATATTCATCCTCCTCAGACAAGAAGGCAGCATAGGTGTTTTCACAGTACTCAAACAGAAGCTGAAGGAGAGAAAGATACTCACAATTGTACCACAGTTGGAGATGACTTATCCACAAAGGAGTGTTTATTGTCGGATATGAAGGAAAAGTAAAAGAGAAAGAAACGTTCCTATAGTATTGTTTTCCAGGAATGTGGAATAAGTCAGCAATATCGTGAAAAACATCACATTGTGTTGTTTATAAGCTTAAGAACATGATGAATGTAAGTTTTAAGTTTTCTGATGTCCGGCCTCTCACCCTATGGCAAGGCTGCATAAACTTCACAATCAAAATCACAAATATGGAACTTTTCTATAACACAAAGTAAATTTAAGTTAGTGAGTAGAAATATTCCAGCCATATCCGAGCTGGGGACACTGGAAATGGGCTTCACACATAGGAAATGGAACCCGGGCCTTTGACATGATGCGTCAACGCTTCAACCACAAGGCTACCCCTAATGAATGTTAATGTGAAAAATGTTACCTTATTCTCTGGACTGGAGTCAAAATCATCCTCCTCGTGTGGGAAGAGAATAGCTTCAATGCCTGCTTTATCGCTCATGAAGTGGCCCATCTGGAAGTAAACACAAGCAGACAATGAAGGACAGCCCTGGGCTTCCACGGCCATAAACTCATTTCCACAACATGTGAACAAGAGTCATCCGAAGATGACATATCCCCCCGACGTGGCATGTCGGTAAACTGTGTGTACCTTCAAATGTATTTAGATTGGCAAGGAAATCTTTTTCCTTGATGCCCAAACCAGAAATATAATGAAGGTTATTAAATATTGGTTCATGTAGCTCACTTTCTGATGATCTCATGAAATTGTAATAACAATAACTTCGCAGATTCGCATATGAAAAGCTCTGTAGTAGCCTCATGACACAAAGGCATAAAGAGAATGTACTAGGTTATGTAGCTCACATCATATATAGTATATGATATCGGTAAATAGTACACCTTAGAATTATATGTCAGGGGCTACAAATTAAAAAGATTAAAATATAACAAACTGCACTACTAGTGAACATGATTGCTATGTGCTTAAATTTTGGTGAATCTCTGTCGCATGATTTAGAAGATATACTCCAGACGAGGACATTACCCTAAGTTCATCAATTTTCAATTTAAATTGAAAAAAGAAAAAAAAAGTTAATAGCAAAGGCACCACTACAAAACCTGCTTGATAGGTGTAAAAACTTTTGAGAAGCTAAATTGTATGGTTCGGGAGATATGGTCCGGACAACAGCACTACCCTCAAATTTCCTAAGTTCATAATATATCCACGGAAACGACAAAAATAAAAAATTCTAAAAATCTCTAAATAGCAAAGGGCACTTCTACTGAGCCTGACTGTTAAGTGTACCAAATTTTAGGAAGCTAGGTATTACGGTTTAGGAAATATGCTCCGGACAAGAGCACTACCCTCAAATTTCCTAAGTTCATAATATTTCCACGGAAACGACAAAAATATAAAATTCTAAAAATCTCTAAATAGCAAAGGGCACTTCTACTGAGCCTGACTGTTAAGTGTACCAAATTTTAGGAAGCTAGGCTATACGGTTTAGGTAACATGCTCCGGACAAGAGCACTACCCTCAAATTTCCTAAGTTCATCATATTTCCATGGAAACGACAAAAACAAAAAATTCTAAAAAACTCTAAATAGCAAAAGGCACTACTACTAAGCCTGATTGGTAAGTGTACCAAGTTTTGTGAAGCTAGGTTGTACGGTTTAGGAAATATGCTCCGGACAAACAATGATTACAGACGGATGGACAGACAGACATACTGATGGCTATATCCCCCCCGTCATTATATGTCGGGGGGATAAAAAAGAAATAAAAGGATGTCAGCATGCCCTAGGAATGCATCCCCTTTGTCTGACATATTCGCTCTAAATACTTTTAGAGTTATCCCCTTTACAATGCCCATACATGTATGGGAACACAAGTTACCTCCCCTTGTACTACAGTGCAAACGATTGAGGTAGATATTTTTTTGGTTAAACAGACCCAACCATATTCATGAGGTGAGGGTGAGGTGACTAACGCCGATTTTATAGTGCTGGCCCACTGTGATACCATGCCGCAGTTTAACATGAATACTCCACTCAGACACAGTATACTGACTGAGCCGGCCCGTCCTTGTTTTAGCCCCTCAGTGCTGAGCACAAGGCAGGGTAACAACAAGTACTATCTTTTAATGTCTTTTGATATGATGCGTCCTAGAGGATTCTCTACCACTTGACCATGGAGGCATCTGCATATTTATAATATCATGTTTATTAGTGAGCATGGTTAGTAAAGATTCCTAAAAAGAGTATGGTGGTGATGACCTTGATGAGTTCCACCAGCCAGATGAGGGCTGCCAGGAGGTAGGGCCAGGTGTGGGGGCTGCCGATGGCAAACATGGAGCTCTTGGAGATGGAGAATGGGTAACCCAACACTTTGAAAATCTTGGGAATCTCCTCCTCTGGCTTAGGACCAATCTTGTATTTGGGTTCAAGGTGACCATTTAAGAACTGGAATGCAAGACATGAGACCAAGACTCAGAAAAGGATTTATTTCAAATAACCTGACCATCATCCTGATAATATTGCAGTCTGTGCCAAAACCTTTTGACATGTTTGAGGCTCCAAGCTCGAGTGAGTGAGTGAGTGAGTGAGAGAGTTTGGTTTAACGCTGCGTTTAACAGTATTCCAGTTATATCACGGCGTGTCAGGTATGGTGCTGACAAACCTAGAAACATAAATTGGGCGAACCGGGATTCGAACCCACAATCATAGGTTTGTGGTGTGCCTAAGGGATGCAACTCTGCACACTCTTTACAATACTATGGACTATATAAAGCTGATGTAACTAGACTTTTACTGGACTCATGCTCTGGACTAGTGGCTCAAGACGCAGACTGATAATTATATATTATGTCAAGAATGTGAGTAATGCACAATAACAGGTGCAAACAGTTTTCCTTAAATATAACCCATGACAAGCAGATATAAACTACTGGAAAAATGCTCTTACCTCAAATATTCTAAAGAATTCTTTACTTGGTGGTGATACAAGGATCTTTTGTGAGATGGGATGTGAATAACCCTTATCTGTCAGCCACTGAAATCAATATTTATTATCATTATAATCACAATCATAACCACAGAGGTCAATATTACCCCCTGATCAATGTTTACATGATTGCTGGCATTAGTCTCACTGATTAGTGTACCAGTATGTCAACTGTTTAATAACATGTTATTATGGGTGACTATTGGCATGAGTGGGGGTATTTCAACCACTGAAATTTGCAATAGTATTGTTGCTAAAACCACTTTTGCAATAGCTAAAAATGCTATTGCAATAATTGTCACTGCAATAGTATTGCACAGTATTCTCAGTATATATCAGATATATATACCTTTCAACTATGTAAACATGCTAGCTTAATTATTTGAGATGATGTAATGCCTAACATGCTCACTATTTCGTAGATACAAAATATAGCTCAGGAACTCAGGATTTTAGGGATCTTATCCAATGCTAATGAACATGATAAATATATTTTCTCATATAAAACACATGGAAAAGTATTAACCAGGTGGATTTACACTTACGTTTTATTGTTTTACCATGTTTAGAACAATCAAAACCGTGAACATGACCCAATAGAAAAGCATAGTATCAATGCAAACTAAAAATATTTAAACTCGTAACATTATGTAGTGTGTAGTCAATAACGGCCCTTTGACAGTTGCAATGCATTATTAGTTTGCTTAATTGTCACACCACTACCTGTGTGGTCCTAGTGATAAGCAGTATAGACAGGACAAATACCTCCAGGAGCTGTCTTATCAGCTTGTGCTGGAAACTCTTGTCAGATATCGGTCTTGGATCTTTTGGTACATCGGTGCGGCCACGGATTCCTATGCCACTTGAATGTCTGAAAAAATATGGATTATTGGATGAACTGATATGATCATGAATAATATATGAACACGTCTGATCAATCTGCCGCAAAACAAAGATCTGAGGACATCTCATTATGGGTCATGTCAGAACGACCTTTCGCGAACTTTGACCGACCACTGAAATGACTAACATGAAGTCGACATCAGCCAATTAGAAAGCAGTTTTCTCGATCTTTACGGCACTCGTTTCAACCTGGCGACTTCCATTTCAGACTATGCTTGAAATATATGTTGACACAGTTCTCAATTAAAATTTGATAAACTGAACAAACATACATTCCGGAATGTCTAATATATGGTTGAGGTTTACAGCAGTGCTTCCCACCTCCTAGTCCTACGTTCAAATGTTTATCTTACGGAAGCGAGATAGATGATAATTTTGATGGAACCAGTCGTACCGGCCGTAACTGTCATTCAGAATAGCCTGTGTTAACGTTTTCGAGGTTGCATGATTAGAAAACAAATTCCAACTGTCACTTTCATGATCTGGTAAGCGACACTTTGATTGGTCTGATGAAAGGTCGTTCTGACGTGACCCGTAATGGTATGTCAGATCTTTGTTTAGCGATAGCGAGAACTTAGATCTGATTTTAAAGAGATTGACATCAGATAACATTCAAATCATTTTCCTCATTTTGTAAAACATGCACATCCCATGAGCCAAAAGGGCCCTTATCATACCTGTGGAACTGGAAACAATGACCAGAGACAACTGGCAGTTGACAGACACAACAGAATATAACAGTTAACATGGTTACAGCATCCTCAACCACTGGGCCACCAGTGAACAAGGTGAATATTTCAACAGACAGTGCTTACCTTCTCTTTTGACCTGCAGTGGTGGGATATGCACTGTATCGTGACACTGGCTTCTGAGCCCGTCCTATTGACGGTCTTCCCCCCAGTGATGGTCTGCTTCCTATTGACAACCTGTTTCCCGACGATAGTCCACACCCTACTGACTGTCTGCTGCTTGACGGCTTTACGTTATCATCAGTCCTCACTCTTAATGGCCCTGCTAGAGATGCACGGCCTCCCAAACTGGACTTCCGCATCATGTTTACATCAAAACTGTAGCAACCTGAAACCACCAAAGAGTTTTCAAATGACAGTGTTTCTGTGTTTTTTTAAAAAATGAAATAATCTTAAGCATCATAATTTTTTTTTCGAATATCATTTTTTTTATTGATACATTTAGTCAATTCCGAGAGAGAAAAGTTCATAATATTAGTAGAAAGTATTTCAATGTCCAACATGCCCAAGTGATGAAATCACATGCTCCGTAATCAGCTTCCAAAACAAACATATTTGGGGGGGGGGGGGGGGGGGGGTGATTCTCACCCGTTACACACATACTGTTTCTGCTAATCCTACAAAAATATCAACAGTGCATACATTGTTGAATGTGTGGAACGACCCTTGATCTTGACATTGTGAACAATTAAGATAACAATTAACAATCGGTAACAAGCGTTTTATTACTGACATCTTGTGTGGGCAACAAAACTCCAGCTGCCCTCTGTCAAAATTCAACACAATAAATGCCAGTTAGGGATTAATACCCAGATTAAGTATGCCCTAAAGTATTGAAATCTGTTGACTTTACTTGCCCATTAAACAAATTTAAATATGCCTGTAAACATGTTTCATTTTGAGGATATAAAACTCTGTTGTACAGTTTCAAAACAAGACTTGAACAATGTTGAAAATGAAAAATTAAAGCGATGCAAAATGAAGAATAATTGTAACATGTAACATGTTCAAACCAAAATAGTTGAACAAATATCAAATAGTGATCATGTACTCGACAGGCTTAACTGAGCCCAATATTAGACAGTCGTCTTGTGTTTGGTTTTGTGGTAAGACAGTCCAATCATCAGTTCATTGGTGTAGGACAAGGAAACCATATCACACACACACTAATGCAACAGAAGCTGCAACTTTAGTCATTAGTCCTAAGCTTAGGTCCGGTAAACAGTATTTCTGTCCAGTATAGCACAGCTTATAATCCTGATAATAATCATTATCACCCATGGGGTACTATGTACAGATGTAACCACTAAACAGGTAACATAACAAACTGTTATGAAACATTTATCATAACACTTGCATGTGATTTGATGTTGTTTACAAACAATCAAAGATGGACACCTTATAAATGTAGCCTTTTGATATTGCAGATTTCTTCAATACATAACACAGTATGAGAAATGTACAAGATGCAGCGGTAGAAACTAAAAGTTTTAGTCCACTAGTCCTTATAATGATAACATATAGCAAAACCCTTAAAAATGGCAAATTTCTATTAGTCCTTATGATACCCATCATGACTTTTGGCCAGTTTGGCAAGGACTACTGGACTAGTGTCAATTTCTAACGCTGAGATGGTTACTTAATTGTTGATCCATCGTTCTACACTCTCTTATTCTCAGACTTAACTCACACTATGGGTTGTGTATACATAATGAATGTATCTGCAATTTACCCTGCAAAACAATTGATCAGCGATGACGTTCAACATGTTCAATATATGGTTCAGGAAAAAACAATTCATTGAAACTAGATTCTATTTCGGTGCATCCCATGAAATGAGCATTATAATTCTTTCACAGCGGTTGTATAATTGTCATGTCTTATGATGTTACAGACACTAAAATCTTGTATTCTACTGATTGTTCCTGGGATGTCCTTAGCCTGTCAACGTAATGAAAATATGACTTTTTGTTTGTAAACATCAAGACATATGCGATTGCATATTCGTGTATAACTTATACTATAATCAGTTTATTTAACAATATGCTTGATATGGAGCACCAGATAAGTAAATCACAATTTTAACAAATACAACACGTAGAGTATTAAAATATTGAAAAGAAATAACCTTACAGAAAATCCACGAAAATTGAACCAGCCGCCTTTTCAAATACGCGCATGCGTAAAGAAACCGAAAGCGCTTCCGGTTTGTGTAAAAAATTCAAACTAACAAACGGAACGAAATATATTACAAGTCGACGGTAATCAATGACATATCTTTTCATCGATTGTGCAAAACATGTCTCAATCGCAATAAAGCTTAACAAAAGGATTTGAAGTATAGATATATAAAGAAAAGAATATTGTATCTTTGAGTATTTAGAAGAATTAAGAAAATCTTTCGCTAGATGACAAGCGCTTGATGGTCCTGAAAAAGGCTTTTCGGGAGTTATTTTTTTGTAATCTGAACAAATTAATATAAACTTTAAATAAAACCGTGATAAGAATTCAACTAATCCGGTTGCACGCGTGATTTCCCAGAATTAAAAAGCTGAGGGAAGTTTCATTCTAAGCACCATTTCCCGACATCGTTTATAACGAACAAGCTTATAACGAACTGACGGATATGACGAACTTATTTCTTTGTCCCGGCCACTGATGTATTTATGCTGAACATATGCTTATAACGAACTACGGTTATAACGAACTAACATTAGTGGCCCCTTGAGTTCTTTATAACCGTAGTTTACTGTACCTGTTTCTGATGTCGCTAATAGATGTAGCGCAAATGGTCTGTAAAAACGAACATTCTCTAAACGCGGTTATTAAGTTTCTTTGGTAAAGTTTCAGCTGTAATCTGGTATCCACGACAATAAAAGTAGCCCTTTTATAGAAGCCAGTGTATGCCTAATGGCGGATTTAGAAATAATTCAAAAGCCCACGAGAGAGATGAAAATTTCTTTTGGAAGAAAATTTGCGTAATTAATGACTTATAACATTCCTCCCATGCGGAAATCGAAGAAAACTATACCAACGTTTTTATCGACCGACCTCTCCTGGAGATCAGATTGCTCACCAGAAATGATTTCAGGGTTTATTTTATAAAAAAAACCCGGCAAATGTAGTACATAGAATAATTTCATTGTGAAACTTGGGAGTTACGGACAATTTAGGAATTGGTGTTGACGCGCATGTTTTCCAATTCAGCACGTCAAAATCTTGTTAATTATACAGAAAAAAACCTGTTTTTTATAACCTATAACAACTACAATTTTGTCATTACTCGCTACTTGTGTTCCAAATGTAAAAAGTATTGAAGAAAAAAACCCGGCTCGTTTTTTTATGCCTGAGAGGAGGTCAGATTTATGGGTGCAGTGACGGAATACCAAATCATTTGACATATGTATTTCTTTAAGCAGATTCATTGCGACCTTTGCTGCAGTCAATTTATGTGACGAGTTTAGTAACAGGAATTGAAAGCGCAACTACTATATCGCCTACATGGCCAAAATGTAATAAAAGTTGGTTCGGAAATGAAACGTTGAACCGTAATATTATGTTTCACTTCTCTGATAGAACTCAGTATAGAGAATCATGTTTTGTGATTTTGTTTTATCAACAGTAGTCGTGGTTAGTTTAATCTTGACATTGCACTGTCCTCCCAACTTTCTGCCAATACCCACTTCCCCCGAATTTCATAGTAATTGTTCAATCTATTTGTCCGTACACCGTTATTATTTTGAAATGTTGAATCTGTTGTACCTCATACGAGTTTGCTTAATTTATGAAAACCTTCCAAAATAGACCCCGAATCCCGCGTACCAATTATGGGTTGGCAGCCTCATATCAGGGCGATGGACAACGAGGCGAATAGTTGCTGATGCGGCGTACAACTTTCACGCACTCACTCACTCTATGTTTATTCATTAGATTACATAATCGATTTAGCGTGACACATTTGCATAGTTTCACGAGAGATATATGCAATTTAGAAACTCGACGTTTATCGTGACTACTTATATTCCCATATTTACATTTAAAATATGTGCAAGATTCGAATTTAGCAACAGGTACACTGATTTTACGTGTGTTTCATTCCGATATGGTTACCTCCCTTGTAAACATGGCAGCCCCCACAAGCACGTTGAATTGTTTACCAGTCAGTTAAAAGTACAATGAATGTAAGGAATAAACAGTTGTTGACTTGGTGTGTACTGACAAGGATCAGACATACGCACCGGTATGTATATTCTGTTTTGTGACACGCAACAAGTGAACAGTACGGTCGGCATTCATAAGGCTAATTAATCATCAGCTGATCGTTAGATGAGCGTCTGAGTGAGTATGGTTTTACGCCGCGTTTGGCAATATTCCAGCCATATCACGACGGGAGACACCAGAAATGGGCTTCACACATTGTACCTATGTGGGGAATCGAACCCGGGGTTTCGAGCGAAAGTTTTGACCACAAGCCTGCTACCCCGTAAAAGGCGACTATAACGGGATCGGGCGGTCTCGGCTCGCTGACTTGGTTCATGCATGTCATCGATAACAATTGCATGGATCGATGCTCATGATGTCAATCACTGGATTGTCTGGTCCAGACTCGATTACTTACAGACCACCGTCATATAGCTGGAATACTGCTGAGTGAGGCGTTAAACAACAAACCAACCAACCAACCACCGCCCCGATTGTTAGATGAAACGCTCGCCATGACTCGAGAGAGTGGATCGATGTGTTACTGGGTTTGTATGTGCGGTTATTGTTGTGGAAGGGATTTATTGTATGTGAACACGTTATAACAGCAGAATGGCACATGCAAAGATTGTATAAAGGTAAATTAAAGAGTAGGCCTGCTCTATTAATAATGAGTTCGCAAAACAAATATTCAATATGGCAGCTTTGGCAGACATCTTTGATATCATGTGCATATTACTCATGCATTAATGTTTTGCCAACTATATCTACGTTTTGTGGCAGGGGATGCAGAAATGATTGTCTGAATTAGAAATCTTGAAATGTATAAAAAGTATATATAATTGGGGTAGCCTATTTAAGCGACCTTAACATTATGTCCTCGTTAACATCACATGTGGTATTGCAGGAATATTAACCATATAAAACCATACTTACATAGTTATATAAACTTCTTTGACATTGCGATATTGCAGGAAAGTTTATAGAAGTTGGATTATAGGAAAGGAATGGTTTTCACATCATGCTATGGTTCGTTCATTCTACAGGAAATGTCATGGATGTATTTCTTGCAGTTTTCGACATGGTTACAGCAACCGCAAGGCACTTGTGAACACCACCACAGAAGAAAATCAATATGAACGGTAGGTTTTTTTCTAGACTTAAATAATTCACTCAATATGCTAGTATGCTCTAGATTAATGATGTAAACTATCTGCTTACAAGTTTTGTTTGTTTGTTTGTTTGTTTGTTTTTTAACGTCTCACTCAGCAATATTCCAGCTATATGACAGTGGTCTGTAAATAATCGAGTCTGGACCAGACAATCCAGCGATGTATGTTATTGGGATACGATGACATGCATGAACCAAATCAGTGAGCCTGACCACCCGATCCCGTTTGTCTAGTCGCCTCTTACGACAAGCGTAGTTGCCTTTTACGGCAAGAATGGGTTGCTGAAGACCTATTCTAACCCGGATCTTCACGGGTCCTACTTACAAGAATGTGTTCATTTAAGAATTGACATCATTTTTCATAAGCTGCCTGAAAAAAATAACTAATTTTAAAAGTAATCAGAAAGATTTGATTATAACTATGAATCTACCAGGATGTACTTTTACATCGTTGACGGTAATAGCTGAACACAGTATTATTGAAGAATGATACTATTTTCCTTTTCAACAACAGTTTTACATTTCAAGAATCACAAATATTTTAATAATTTAATTTGTAGCACATATATTCTTATGTTTTTTGAAAGGTAAAAATTATTCATTTAGTCTACATATATGTAAATAATAACAACATCTTGTAAAAATGCTTTTTTATTTTTCAGGTTGGCATATTGTGTTACACCATACTACAGGAAACCCTATGACACTCAACTCAAGGTAATATATTTATTCTTTTGTTCTTTTTGTTCTTTTAAGTTAAAAAGATAAGACTAAAAATTATTTTAGGTGTTTAGGAAGGAGTGTTTACAAAGTAGGATTCAGGGGGCATGGGTGGCCCAGTCGCTAAGGTGCACAATTTCCTGTGCAGAGTTGAGTCTCTTGGGGAGGCCAGAAACCTCTATTAGATGGTTCGAATCCCAATTCACCCCGATTAAGTTTCTAGGTTTGTCAGCACCATGCCAATGTTCATGGGTTTCACCAAAGTGGTAAATGTCTGAGACCTGCATTACTTTGGCTTTACTCCCACATGAAGCTGACACGCTCTAATATTGATGGAATACTGGTAAAAGTGACGTTAAACCAAACTCACTCACTCAAAAGTAGGATTCAAATGATTGGTTGATTGTGTGTCATCATACCCTGATGGTGTAGGATGTTGCTTGCCATATCAGCAAGTCTAAATTATTAACAGGCTGTTGTTACATAGTTGAATGTTGCTGATATCTGCTTTTGACAGGGGGCACGGGTGGCCCAGTTGTCTAAGGCGCCGCGATTCGCTATGCAGATTTGCGTCCCTTGGGCACGCCAGAAACCTATGATTGTGGGTTCAAATCCAGGTTCTCCCCAATTATGTTTCTAGGTTTGTCAGCACCATACCCGTGCTCGTGGGTTTCACCGAAGTGGTAAACGTCTGAGACCTGCATCACTTCGGGCTTTCCTCCAACATTAAGCTGACATGCCGTGATATAACTGGAATAATGTTAAAAGCGGCGTTAAACCCAACTCACTCACTCACTCACTCACTCTGCTTTTGACAAAAAGACAAACAATCTGTGATGGAGTGTCCTATATGATTAAAGCAAAATTGTTTGTTTCAGATAAAGGAATCAAATTTGAAAAAATCTCTACAGAAAGTTATCAATATTGTTCGTCATACTCGAAAAGGACAGTACTCCCCAGCAGTTAAAAAAATGGATGAAGAAAATGATGGACAAATGTGTGCTCTAGTTGGAGTTAAACCAGCGGTAGGTCACCCACTATTCTACTGACATTAGGGGTAGGTCACCCACTATTCTACTGACATTAGGGGTAGGTCACCCACTATTCTACTGACACTAGGGTTAGGTCACCCACTATTCTACTGACATTAGGGGTAGGTCACCCACTATTCTACTGACACCAGGGGTAGGTCACTAACTATTATACTGACATTAGGGGTAGGTCACCCACTATTCTACTGACACTAGGGTTAGGTCACCCACTATTATACTGACATCAGGGGTAGGTGACCCACTATTATACTGACACTAGGGGTAGGTCACCCACTATTATACTGACACCAGGGGTAGGTCACCCACTATTCAACTGACACTAGGGGTAGGTCACCCACTATTCAACTGACACCAGGGGTAGGTCACCCAATATTCTACTGATGCTAGGGGTAGATCACCCACTATTCAACTGACATTAGGGGTAGGTCACCCACTATTCTACTGACACTAGGGGTAGATCACCCAATATTCTACTGATTCTAGGGGTAGGTCACCCACTATTCAACTGACATTAGGGGTAGGTCACCCACTATTCTACTGACACCAGGGGTAGGTCAACCACTATTCTACTGACACCAGGGGTAGGTCACCCACTATTATACTGACACTAGGGGTAGGTCAACCACTATTCTACTGACATTAGGGGTAGGTCACCCACTATTATACTGACATTAGGGGTCAACCACTATTCCCCTATTGTTGTACAGTACAGATTCAATATTCACATATAATTAGAGACCTCTTTTTTTCAGCCAGAAATCTATGGCTACCGTAACAAGGATGAGATGAGTATTGGGCCAGATGTGACCGGTGACAGGAGAGTTGTGGGCCTTTATGTGGGCAAGGGAAGCAGTGAGTGTACCATCTTCAGTTATCCAGGGTATAATACCTCCACTCTTAATACGCTCATCTTTCCCAAGGCAAGGGAGGTAACTGACTGTATAAAAACATATCAAAATCAGATGCCTGTTTTATGTAATTTGTGTAATAATACGTACTTTGGCCCCAGTATGAGGTGTCCCATGTTGTGTGTTTCAGGTGGGAAGGTGGTGTGTGTCAGCCCCCAGCATCTCGTCATCATGAAGAAAACACACGTTAATATCATCAATGTAAGTGGGATAAGTTGTAGTGTGGACAACCATAGCCAGATCCAGGGTGGTCCAGGGGGTCTGAAAACCCCCCTCCCCCACCTTTGAAAACCAAACATAATATATTGTAGGCAGTAAAATTATCTGAGAAGGGATTTTGATATTTTGGACCCTTCCCTTTTGAAAATGCTTAATCGCCCTTGTACAGTAATGGGGGCGATCGTGTAGCTTTGTGGTTAAAGCGTTTGCTCGTCATGCCAAAGACCCGGGTTCGATTCCTGAAATGGATACAATGTGTGATGCCCATTTCTGCTGTCCCCCGCCATGATATTGCTGGAATATTGCTAAAAGCGGCGTAAAACCATACTCAGTCAGTCAGTTGTACAGTAATGGCACCTCATTTGGACATAAGGCTATAGCAGATGTTGGGTAAAATATAAAAATTGGAATAAAAAGTTTCCAATTATGACAAGTGTTGTATTTTTGCAAATTATTGCTTATTATAGTGATACATTATAACATTGGAGTGTCAGAATAGGGGTGAAAGCAGACGCATCACATCATGCCTTTTGGGGAATAAAGTTTCCATAGTTAGAAATAAATGCACAAGCATTTGTAATGTCAACATTTATGCACCTTTTTTGCATTTGCCTCAGTGATTATATGATTTACAGACTGTAGTACAGCGACCGCCTCCGTGGTCTTGTGGTAGAGCGTCCGCCCGGAGAGCGGAAGGTCCAGGGTTCGATCCCGGGCCGCGTCATACAAAAAGACGTTAAAAGATTGTACTTGTTGTTACCCTGTCTGGCGCTCGGCATTAAGGGGCTAAAACAAGGACTGGTCGGCTCGGAGTCAGTATACTGTGTCTGAGTGGGGTATTCATGTTAAACTGTGGCATGGTATCTCAGTGAGCTAGCACTATAAATCGACATCAGTCCGGACTAGTACAAGCAGCCACACACACACATACACGTGCATGCACGTCGCTATATAAGTGCGATAATCTTGGACGCGACGTTAAACCCAATTTCACCTCACCACACCTGTAGTACAGCCTGAATATGGTCGACTGTGGTCCATGACAACACTCACTGTGGTGTAAATGGGGATTGTTTTGTGTCCCAGGCGTACCAGGACTTCCTTGACCAGTCGGCCTATGTGAAATACGGGAGGTCAGGCATGATAGGGTACTGGGACAGTGTGGTCATCCGGTCAAGTCAGCAGCAAGACACCATGGTGACAGTCATGTTCAGGGCAAGACAGAAGTCAGCGGTATGTCAATCTCATTAAACTCAGATCTTAGTGCTTGCTACTACTAAACAAAGATCTGAAGACATTCCATTACAGGTCATGTCAGAACGACCTTTCACGAACTTTGACCGACCAATGGAATGTCTGTCAAGAAGTCGACATAAGCCATTCAGAAGGCAGCTTTCTCGTGCTTTGTGGAACTATTTTCAAACTCAAGTGTTGAAAGGCATTTAGAAGTGATACACATTAGGAAGAGAATTTATGGATGTCAACTTTTTTATTATGAGGAACACAACATTTCGGAGTATGTGCTTACTCCTTCATCAGGTGAATGATCATATACTCCAAAATGTTGTGTTCCTCATAATAACAAAGTTTACATCCATAAATTCTCTTCCTTATTTTCAAACTGGCAACTACACTCAAATATATTTTGACAAATTCTCAATTCAAAATTTGAAAACTGAACAAAAGAACATTCAGGATTAGCTAACAGATGGCCTAGATTGTATGGATTCAGTCGTAAAGCCAGTAACCGTCCTTCAGAATGTTAAATTGTTCGAGGTTGCATGATTAGAAAACACATTCCGACTGTCACGTTCCTGATCTGGTAAGCGAAGCTCTGATTGGTCGGATGAATAGTGGTTCTGACCGTCACCCGTAATGGGATGTTCTCAGATTTTTTAAAATGATTTTGATATGAGATAGGAGGTGTGGCAGATTAACCAATGAACTAGAATTTGTTAGGGGGACCAGGTCAATTACCTTCTTGAACACTCTTGCTGCTTGTTATGTGTATGCACCTGAAATACTATACAGAGCGGCATGATTCTCTGTTTCAGGATGAGTATCAGGAGGCAAGAGATGAACTCCGCCACTTCTTCCAACAAGGTCAAGGTCGTCAGCTGGGGGTCACATCACTCTTCTTCAGACCAAGGTATGTTTTATCCTGTTTAGATGGGCATCAATGTCAAGGATAAGGCAACCATTGTTCTATATTTATTTTATAAACTTGACTGGCCAGAGGCCAGAGCCACAAAAATCCAGGATTGGATCGTGAGAGCCACGGGAATGGCTCCAGGGGTTAGTGTAGGTTTACTGAAATATGAACCCTGGATATATAGAGGATGTCTTCTAAATTCATGAGACGATTTTAGTTATCTCAAAAAAACGAATGTTTTTAGAAAGTTTACATTAATTTGGATTGGCTCAATACCCAGTGCCTCTTAGTTCTGACTGGCAGGTAAAAATTCATTCAGGGTTTTTGATTTTTATTCAAAAATGTATTGAATTAAAGTATAATATCTTATTTTTTCACTTGTCCTATCTCACACCATTTTAAACCTGCCCCGACAATCACAGCAAACCTTGTGAGGATCAGGGGTGGAAAACGTAGTTCATCTAGGCAGGCTGGACAGAGAGGAACTTCCTTCCCATTCCCCATGACATGGAGGGAATAGCTATGCTAAGTAGGTTGGGAACTGTGGCAAAAAAACAAACCCCAAATACATTCTCTAAGCTGACAACATGTCTCCACTGTGTGGCCATGAGAAAGAGAATTATATTGCATCGATAGACACATGATCAGGCCGTGTAGGTCGCTATGCACAAGGATTTATGTGTGTGACCCATTTATATTGGGAAGTGACCGTGTTGATGCTTGGTGTGTTTGGATGAATTGTTTTTAGAAGCTGGAAACTTTGTTCAAGCATGTTTTACAACGGAAGAAGAAATGCATGTGTGAGGTGGAATAGTGTATAAATATACAATTTACTGGAAAGTTTCCAATTTTAATCATATTGTCTCACTCATGAGCTTTAACTCTACATCCAATCGAAATGTCTCTCCTGAATGAGAATTTATCATAGGTCTCCACTGAAGGGGTGGTCTTGTACGTGTGAACCCTCGATAGATTAAAAGTAAAGAAGTTTTACAGCAGTAGGAGACAGGTATGAGTACTCTTGTGCTGGACAAGATGATTTCCAGAGTGTTAAGACAGATTGCGGTATGTCCTTGTGCTTCTAGGTGTTCCCAGTTGTATATGAGATGACATACAACAAATATCGTACGACTATTGAACGACTATTTCTAGTTTTGTGTCGGTCAAACCAGGCCAAAAAAGAGCTATGGTGGCGAATTGGTCCGGTGTATTCATCATAATAGATGCTGACTTTCTCTGCTTTAGTTTCCATAGTTACTGGAGCTACAGCACAGCACATCACGTGATGGGGTCACCGCACATCTTTGAGGAGGTTCTGTCTCACAAGTTCCGCATCTCCCCCGACTCCTTCTTCCAGACGAATACGCCGGCCGCGGTGGTGCTGTACTCCACCGTAAGGGACTACGTGAAGCAATCAGGCGCTGCCACTGTCATCGATGTCTGCTGTGGGACAGGTGGGTCTTTTGTATGAAGTATCATCAATTCAATGGATTGTTTGTTTGTTTGTTTGTTGTCTATTATCTCCGCATTCAGCAATATTCCAGCAAAATGACAACGGCCTGCAAATAATCAAGTCTGAACCAGACAGACCAGTGATTAATATTTTGAGTAAAGCCAATAGGGTATGATGACATGTCATCAACCAAGTTACTGAGTTGACCATCTGATCCATGTAGTCATCCCTCACAACCAGCTTGGGCCCAATTTGAACCTGGAATCCCTACAGGGTCAGTTCAATTGGAATGGAGTCACGTGTTTGTAACTTTGATAATTTTGATCTTGCGGTGGATTATGTTGATGAATATGAATATGAAACTTTAGACTGATTTTAATGTTCATATGTTGGGGGTGCTGACGGCCCAGTTGTCTAATGTGCCGCAAATCAACATGCAGAGTTGCGTCCCTTGGGAATGACAGGAACCTATGATCATTGGTTCGAATCCTAGATTCGTCCTGATTATGTTTCATGTTCAGCACCAATATTGTGCTGTGGGTTTCACCAAAGTGGTAAATGTGTGCAAGACATACAATTTATGTATCCTTATTTTAAGATAGAAAGTGTTGCATGTGTTTCCTCTGCTCGAGTTAATATTGTGTGTTACAGGAACTATTGGTATCCTCATGGCAGACCTTGTGCAGGATATTGTGGGCGTTGAGATGGTGAAACAGGCCATTGAAGACGCAGTGTTTAATGCGGAAAATAATGGTACATATAGTTTGAAATGATTTGTTTGTAAATTTCTGCTGGTAAAAAAATTTGTTGTAGGTAGGAGCAACAACAACAGCAACAACAGCACAAACAGAAACACAAACAGCAACAGCGACAGCAGTAACATTTGTAGGACAGTAGCAGTAGTGACACAAGTAGCATTCTGCATAAGTAGCCCAGTGGTTAGGGTGTTTGCTTGTGATGACTAACATAAGGCTTTGATGCCCCTTCTTAGTGTCCCTGTATCTTTCAAGAAAACTAAAAGAAATATTCTTATTATGAACAAGCATTTTCAGAATGATATCCTGAAATTGTAAAAAAATATTTTCAATGGATCAGTGTGCATTTAAATTTCTTTCTCAGCTCCCTGGGAAGTATACATGTACTCACATTGGGCATCAAACCCAGGTGTATGGTATCCAAAACTCTCTTAGGCTACTTAAGGACAGTGAGTACTAAATATCCCTGTATGAACAATATTTTTAACAAGGTTTAGTTTTGATCAAACATAAAATCAGAGAGCAAGTGGACTTTTACAAAGAGCAAGATGCGCTCATCTTTAAAGTAAATACAAAAATTGGTCAGGTCTTATTAGATATTTAAGGGTACTACTAGATGGCTTCATTGATTGCAGGTGTGATGAATGCTGAGTTTGTGTGCGGCAAGGCCCATCGCTTCCTCCGGGATGAGCTGCCACAGAGGAAGATGTCGGGATCAGCAGTGGCTGTTGTCAACCCGGGGAGAAACGGCATCAGTGAGTTGACGATGTGAGAGGCAAAGTGTAACACTAACAACATAGTACAGCCTTTATTATGCTCCATTCAGAACTGCCTGTTTATGTTTTTTTGGTAGCACAAATCAGTTTATTGGGATTAGGACACAGAAATCAGGTTATCGTGATTTGAAACCACTGATTTTCCATTCAGAGTTGAAGATTGCTTTGTGTATGGTGTCCATAGAGGATACTGACTCTGTGAACACCTGGTGTCCTTGTTATCAGTCCAGAAATTATGTTACATAGGATGTTGATTGACTCCGTAACACTGAATATGTTTGTTTTCAGACAAGAAAGTAGTGAATGCCATAAGACAGTGTAAAGAGATCCGTCACCTCATCTACGTCTCCTGTAAACCATCTGGGAATGTTCTCGTCAACTTTGCAGAGTGAGTGTCTTCACAGGTATAGTGTGTTAAGGTGTATCCATCACCAATGGACATATTGGAGTTTTTATCTGCTTTTAGCAATATTCAAATTCTTTCACAAAGGGGACTATACAAACCCTTCAGTCACTGGGGTACTACATTTGTGTGTCTTTAGGTATAGTATCCTCTAGTACAGGACTGTGTGTCTCCAGTGTCTGGTACAGGACTGTGTCTCTCCGGTGTCTGGTACAGGACTGTGTGTCTCCAGTGTCTAGTACAGGACTGTGTGTCTCCAGTGTCTGGTACAGGATGGTGTGTCTTCGGTGTCTAGTACAGGACTGTGTCTCCAGTGTCTGGTACAGGATGGTGTGTCTTCGGTGTCTGGTACAGGACTGTGTGTCTCCAGTGTCTGATACAGGACTGTGTCTCCAGTGTCTGGTACAGGACTGTGTGTCTCCAGTGTCTGGTACAGGACTGTGTCTCTCAAGTGTCTGGTACAGGACTGTGTGTCTCCAGTGTCTGGTACAGGACTGTGTGTCTCCAGTGTCTGGTACAGGATGGTGTGTCTCCAGTGTCTGGTACAGGACTGTGTGTCTCTGGTGTCTGGTACAGGATGGTGTGTCCCCAGTGTCTGGTACAGGACTGTGTGTCTCCGGTGTCTGGTACAGGACCGTGTGTCTCCGGTGTCTGGTACAGGACTGTGTGTCTCCGGTGTCTGGTACAGGACTGTGTGTCTCTGGTGTCTGGTACAAGATGGTGTGTCTCCAGTGTCTGGTACAGGACTGTGTGTCTCCGGTGTCTGGTACAGGACTGTGTGTCTCTGGTGTCTGGTACAGGACTGTGTGTCTCCGGTGTCTGGTACAGGACTGTGTGTCTCCAGTGTCTGGTACAGGACTGTGTGTCTCCAGTGTCTGGTACAGGATGGTGTGTCTCCAGTGTCTGGTACAGGACTGTGTGTCTCCGGTGTCTGGTACAGGATGGTGTGTCTCCAGTGTCTGGTACAGGACTGTGTGTCTCTGGTGTCTGGTACAGGACTGTGTGTCTCCAGTGTCTGGTACAGGACTGTGTGTCTCCAGTGTCTGGTACAGGACTGTGTGTCTCCAGTGTCAGGTACAGGACTGTGTGTCTCCAGTGTCTGGTACAGGACTGTGTGTCTCCAGTGTCTGGTACAGGACTGTGTGTCTCCGATGTCTGGTACAGGACTGTGTGTCTCCGGTGTCTGGTACAGGATGGTGTGTCTCCAGTGTCTGGTACAGGGCTGTGTGTCTCTGGTGTCTGGTACAGGACTGTGTGTCTCCAGTGTCTGGTACAGGACTGTGTGTCTCCGGTGTCTGATACAGGACTGTGTGTCTCCGGTGTCTGGTACAGGACTGTGTGTCTCCAGTGTCTGGTACAGGACTGTGTCTCTCCGGTGTCTGGTACAGGATGGTGTGTCTCCAGTGTCTGGTACAGGACTGTGTGCCTCCAGTGTCTGGTACAGGACTGTGTGTCTCTGGTGTCTGGTACAGCACTGTGTATCTCCAGTGTCAGGTACAGGACTGTGTGTCTCCAGTGTCTGGTACAGGACTGTGTGTCTCTTGTGTCTGGTACAGGACTGTGTGTCTCCAGTGTCTGGTACAGGACTGTGTGTCTCTGGTGTCTGGTACAGCACTGTGTATCTCCAGTGTCAGGTACAGGACTGTGTGTCTCCAGTGTCTGGTACAGGACTGTGTGTCTCTTGTGTCTGGTACAGGACTGTGTGTCTCCAGTGTCTGGTACAGGACTGTGTGTCTCCAGTGTCTGGTACAGGACTGTGTGTCTCCGGTGTCTGGTACAGGATGGTGTGTCTCCAGTGTCTGGTACAGGACTGTGTGTCTCCGGTGTCTGGTACAGGACTGTGTGTCTCCGGTGTCTGGTACAGGATGGTGTGTCTCCGGTGTCTGGTACAGGACTGTGTGTCTCCAGTGTCTGTTACAGGATGGTGTTTCTCCGGTGTCTGGTACAGGACTGTGTGTCTGCAGTGTCTGGTACAGGACTGTGTGTCTCCAGTGTCTGGTACAGGACTGTGTGTCTCCGGTGTCTGGTACAGGACTGTGTGTCTCCGGTGTCTGGTACAGGTCTGTGTGTCTCCAGTGTCTGGTACAGGACTGTGTGTCTCCGGTGTCTGGTACAGGACTGTGTGTCTCTGGTGTATGTTACAGGACTGTGTGTCTCCAGTGTCTGGTACAGGACTGTGTGTCTCCAGTGTCTGGTACAGGACTGTGTGTCTCCGGTGTCTCGTACAGGACTGTGTGTCTCCAGTGTCTGGTACAGGACTGTGTGTCTCCAGTGTCTGGTACAGGATGGTGTGTCTCCAGTGTCTGGTACAGGACTGTGTCTCTGGTGTCTGGTACAGGACTGTGTGTCTCCAGTGTCTGGTACAGGACTGTGTGTCTCCGGTGTCTGGTACAGGCCTGTGTGTCTCCGGTGTCTGGTACAGGACTGTGTGTCTCCGGTGTCTGGTACAGGATGGTGTGTCTCCAGTGTCTGGTACAGGACTGTGTGTCTCCAGTGTCTGGTACAGGATGGTGTGTCTCCGGTGTCTGGTACAGGATGGTGTGCCCCCGGTGTCTGGTACAGGACTGTGTGTCTCCAGTGTCTGTTACAGGATGGTGTGTCTCCAGTGTCTGGTACAGGACTGTGTGTCTCCAGTGTCCGGTACAGGATGGTGTGTCTCCAGTGTCTGGTACAGGACTGTGTGTCTCCAGTGTCAGGTACAGGACTGTGTGTCTCCAGTGTCTGGTACAGGACTGTGTGTCTCCAGTGTCTGGTACAGGATGGTGTGTCTCCAGTGTCTGGTACAGGACTGTGTGACTCCAGTGTCTGGTACAGGACTGTGTGTCTCCAGTGTCTGGTACAGGACTGTGTGTCTCTGGTGTATGTTACAGGACTGTGTGTCTCCAGTGTCTGGTACAGGATGGTGTGTCTCCAGTGTCTGGTACAGGATGGTGTGCCTACAGTGTCAGGTACAGGACTGTGTGTCTCCAGTGTCTGGTACAGGATGGTGTGTCTCCAGTGTCAGGTACAGGGCTGTGTGTCTCCAGTGTCTGGTACAGGACTGTGTGTCTCCGGTGTCTGGTACAGGACTGTGTGTCTCTGGTCTCAGTGTCTGGTACAATCCAGTGATTGAAATCATGAGAATCAATCTACGCAATTGAGATACGATGACATGCATCAACCAAGTCAGCAAGCCTATCCACCTGATCCTGTTAGTCGCCTCTTATGACAAGCATGGGTTGCTGAAGACCTATTCTTACCCGGATCCACACGGGCATTTGACAGTGCAGATTATAATGGAGATTTACAAATCAAGGAATAATGACTTAACACAGTTGTGTCTGTTTCAGCCTGATTGTGCCTAGGAGTGACAAGCTGGAAGGGGAGCCATTTGTTCCAGTAGAGGCGGTTGGTGTTGATATGTTCCCGCACACGACGCACTGTGAACTGGTTGTCATGTTTAGCAGGTGACCTGACGGGTACCCACCAAAGGGTTGTCAAATATTCAGCACATGTCTTGATGGGTGCCGGACCAGGGGCTTATGTCCCTCGAACAGCAGATATCCCAATGGGTACCCAGAAAAGGGTTATGCCTCTGTTTCAGCTGATATACGGACTGGTACCCTGCAAGGATGTTCGTCCCCTATTCAGCAGTTCACCGAGGTCTTAATCCTTTAAACTGTGATATCTTTTTTTGTGTTTTTACATGTATGTTTTTTCAATATTTGGTGTAGAAAAAATAATTACGCTTACACAGGACAACCAAAGCAGATGTGCAATGGGGGGTAGGGGGGGCTAGTGATCAAACAACACTGTGGAAACACAACTTGAAAGCTGTGAAACATCAAAGATTGAAAACCATACATTGGTCTGAGTAAAAGTGTAGATGTGGCAAATGCTTCTGTTGTTATTTATTATATAAATGCTATGTAACTGCCCGTGAAGATCGGGGTTAGATTTGGTCTTCAGCAACCCATGCTTGTCATAAGAGGCGACTGTGCTTGTCATAAGAGGCGACCATGCTTGTCATAAGAGGCGACTGTGCTTGTCATAAGAGGCGACTATGCTTGTCATAAGAGGCGACTATGCTTGTCATAAGAGGCGACTATGCTTGTCATAAGAGGCGACTCACAGATAGGGTTGACAGGCTTGATGACTTGGCTGATTAATGTCATTGTATCCCAACTACATTGATTGATGCTCATGATGTTGATCACTGGATTGTCTGGTCCAGACTTGATTATTTACAGACGGCTGTCATATAGCTGGAGACCGCCTCCATGGTCTAGTGGCAGCACATCAGCCCGGAGAGTGGAAGGTTCGGGGTTCTATGCCTGGGCGCATCATACCAAAAGATGTTGTAGATGGTACTTGTCGTAACCCTGACTGGCACTCGGCATTAAGGGGATAAAACAAGGATTGGTCGGCTTCAAGTCAGTATACCGAATCTCATTGGGGTATTCATGTTAAACTGAAGCATGGTATCTCAGTAGGCTAGCACTATTAAATCTGCATCAGTCTGGACTAGTACAAGCAGCCACACACATATGCATGCACATTGCTATAAAAATGCAGTAGTCTTGGATGCCAGCTGAGCCCCATTTCACCTCGCCTGTTTCATAAATGGCATTTACATAACATACACTGTATGGTACACTTGCTCTGTGTTGTCTGATGGCTATGTCAGACAGCAATAAGGTCGAGTCGGATGTGATGGAGCCTGAATAAGTCAAACTATTTCTATCTCTGATGTCTATTTCCATGAGATCGGCACAACAAGGTAGTTCCGATTACCTACCACAGCTACTTTTGGGAAGTGGCGTCACCATCTTCATCTCTTTCATCAGTAAATTCCCCAGAATGTACCCTGCAGTCAATCTAATTAAAATCAGATCTTAGTTCTCGCTATGCACAACAAATATGAGAGGACATCAGACTACCAGTCACGTCAGAATGACCTTTCCTGAACTTAGTCCAATCAATGAAATGACTAACAAGAGGTGGACATTAGCCAATCAGAAAGCAGCTAGCTCAGCTTCAGTTCCAGACTATGCTTTGATAAATATTCTGACAAAGTTCTCTTCTCAAAATTTGAAAGTGAAAAGAAAGTTCTGGAATGTCTAACAGATGGCCGAGATTGTTTGGCGGTACTTCCCCGGGCTATGGAAGGTCGCTTCTATTTCAGATGTTCATCCAGCTGAGGGGACAGATGGAGTTAGTGGTACAGCCTATCACCGTCATTTGGGCTACGGAGATTGAGTGTACATTTGATTAAATAACTATTTACCGTCATGGCATTCGATTTCGAAACTAAAACAATTGTAGCCAACAGGTCCCGGGTCTTATAGCAGAGATGAATCGAGATAATCGAGGATGTGTGATGCAGACAAAGCAGTCCAACAAGATACTGGTCACACGTTATTTAGTAGGACCGCTGAACACTGCCCTAAGAGTTGTTCCATCTTTTAGCAATATTCGAGCAATGTCTCAACGTTAGACACTAGCAATGGGCTTTGTACATCGTGATGAGCGAGTGAGTGAATGAGTTGGGTTTTACGCCGCTTTGAACAGTAGTCCAGTTATATCACGGCGTGTCAGCTTAATGTGGGAGGAAAGCCTGAAGTGATGCAGGTCTCAGACGGTTACCACTTCAGTGAAACCCACGAGCACGGGTATGGTGCTGACAAACCTAGAAACATAATCGGAGCGAACCGGGATTCGAACCCACAATCATAGGTTTCTGGCGTGCCCAAGGGACGCAACTCTGCACAGCGAATCGCGGCGCCTCAGATGACTGGGGCACCCGTGTGATGAGCGAACCACTGTAGTCTGTCAACTGTTATACTGGCACCCAGTTTTTCACAATTATTGTCCATTGAACCCACAACCATGTGACGAGATTTAGTTAGTATCGAATAAAAATCATTGACCTAACTACAAATACCAGTTTTATGTTTCATATGTGAGTATTATGTGTAATATTTCGTGTTTGAATTAAACATTTTTCTTATTGTTCTCATTTAATTTTGTGACCGTTCACATGGCCCTGTAGTGGGGGTAAGAACACGATTTATGTGTGTCAAGCGTGCTTGCTTGCGTGCATGACCCCAGGTGACCTTAATATCCAGCCCGATGATGAGGGAATGTCTCAAAGACATGTGAATAAATTAAAATTAAAATTAAAATGAGTTACAGTGAGTGAGTTGGGTTTAATGCAGCTTTTAACAGTATTCCAGTTATATCACGGCGTGTCAGCTTAATGTGGGAGGAAAGCCTAAATTGAAGATACCCACGGGTATGGTGCTGACAAACCTATAAACATAATCGGGGCGAACTGGGATTCGAACCCACAATCATAGGTTTCTGGCGTGCCCAAGGGACGCAACTCTGCACAGCGAATCGCGTGCCCCCTATGAAGTAAAGTATGATTTTAACTACCCTAGTACATGGAAATTAAATATTATACTAGAATAGTTGATTGAAACACCTAGAATAGTTGATTGAAACACCTTCGGGACATTACATCAGATGCGCAGTTGTCGGAAAAAAATATCTGCTTCCAATGTTGGTGTCATCTAGCATCTAAAATAAAAAATGACATCGTGGAATGAAATCTCAATACCCGCTTGTCAAAACCGTCCAGATTTTGCTTCTTCTTTTCTCTGCGGTGATCTTTATAGGGGAGATAATTCGGAATAAAGTCCTTCCAGATATATGCATGCATTGTTCTCTATATGAAACAATGATGAGATATAACAGAGGCGTAGGCTGGCCTAGGGTTATGCATGCAGCGTGCGTGCTTGGCACTCATTTGGCCATTGTTGTGAGACTTTAATTCCCCCACCCCCCTAAAAGGGATGCAACTCTGCACCCTACAGTAAACGTGTTATTATCCCCCGCCACGAAGTGGAAGGGGGATATAGGAATGGGTGCCGTCCGTCCGTCCTTCCGTCCGGCCGTCCTTCCGTCCGTCCGTCCGACCGTCATATTTCGTTTCCGGAACAGATCTTGAAAACCGTACCATATTTCTTCACCAAACTTGGCACATAGATAGATCTAGTGGTGAACTGGTGCCTTTTGATAGTTTGGGATTTTAAAAAAAGTTATTTTTCGAGTTTCCATGGCAACGACTTTGATTTAGACTGAAAATGGCGGTAGTCCTCGTTTCCGGAGCAGATCTTGAAAACCGTACCATATTTCTTTACAAAAAGGCCCAGTGAACATAGTTCACAGGAGCTAATGCATTGCACACACCCGACATGTCATATTGGCGGGGGATGTGAGTATTTCATGCTTGTTGAAGTATACAATGATCACACTCAAACTGCATTTAACAAATCTTTATTTAAAGGCTGTTGTCATAGGCAGGTACATGAGGTACTCATGAGGTAGGTGTGTTGAGTTTGTAGATGTACCGGCGGCTAGGCGGGCACACAGCTCCAGCTTGCCCTGTCCACTTGGAAGGCATCAGATGGCATTCCGCCTCTGAAACATGGGAAGGAATTGAGAGAAGGATGGTAAGAGAAGTGGGGAGTAATGTTTGCCGACAGCGATAAGGCAGCTCAAGAAAGTATTCACTAAAAAATGGAGTTGACAACAATTACAAACGTTTTCAAAACGTTACTAGGCTGAAAACGGTCCTTGAAACAATGCAAACTTAGGTCCAAAACACAACAATGAAACCCGTGTCATATACATCACTATCACCATCGATTATCCATTTCTTGCTTGTTTCATTTTTATCCATCATCAAACATGGTTGTAGACATTCTTTTGTCCAGCAGTTAATCACGGCGGCCAATAGGATGGGGTAGAATGTGGGACTCTTTAGGTCCACTGGGAATCACATCTTGTCTACATCTAAGAAAATCAGCTTCTGTGCAAATATTACAAAAACGCTTCTGGAGAACCTCCAAAATCGACGTATTTTAGTCGAATGCTACGCTTATAAGTCGCAAACATCAAGTGTTGAAATGAACAGTCTAGTTTTCAATCCTTTGAACACAGGGGCGGTCGGATAGCCTAGTGGTTAACGCATTCGCTCGTCACGCCGAGGACCCGGGTTCGATTCCCGACATGGGTAAAATGTGTGAAGCCCATTTCTGGTGTCCCCCCGCCGTGCTATTGCTGGAATATTGCTAAAAGCGGCGTAAAACCATACTCACTCACTCACCTTTGAACACATTTGATAACTTTCATAACGATTTCTGAAAGTTGTGTTCATTCATTTTTTAAATTATGTGGATCCAGTGCCGTGTTCACACCTCGCCCCACCTTTTATGTTTTATGGTTTAATGCGTCCCCGAGTGATACTGCTACAACAAATATATCTTGCCGACATGTTTCAATCTGCTATTAACAAATTGGAAACTGATAGGAACTGTTCGACTGAGCTGAGGTTTACTTTTGTTGTGTCACGTGTTTTCGTTTAAATCGAAACAGCGTGCAGCTTTTTGTTTCGAGGTAGCAAGGTGCAAGCGATTTATTGTTGATTTATAATCACTAGCAGCCTGTTTTCTTCTAGGCGGGATATGAGGGTTTTATTCTCCCGCTCAGAAATATACCCCTACCTAAAACTAAAGTCACGACAATACCCTTGACGACCGAGGATGATAATCAAAGTTAGTTTTCCCGTACTTACCTACAGTCCCTGATGCATGAGTTGTCGTAGATGTTCCCATTGGTGTCACAGACGGGCAACATAATCCTCGGGCAGGGGCAGCCCCTTGGCAAGGAATTGGCTTAAACAAATAGCATCGGCTAAACGAGCATGACGTGGTTGAAATAGGGTTTAACGTCGGGCTCAAGATTATTGGACTTACATAGCAATGTGCATGCATGTGTGTGTGTGTGTGGCTGCTTGTACAAGTCTTACGTATGCAGGTTTTATAGTGCAAGCCCGCTGAGATTCCATGCCGCAGTTTAACATCAATACCCTACTCAGACACAGTATACTGATTCCAGACAGGGTAACAAGAAGTACCATCTTTTAACGTCTTTTGGTATGACGCGGCCAGGGATCGAACCCCAGACCTTCCGCTCTGAGGGCCACAAGATCACGGAGGCTGTCAAATAACATGGAGCTTAGAAAATCTGGACACGTATCAAATGCGTTGTTTGTTCTGTAAAATGACAAACCTAAAATAATTGCTGTTGAATTTGATGAAATAATAAAATACATGATATTGTTTCATCTCCAAATGTGAAATGTTTGAAATCTAATCTCAACTTGTACACAAAAAAGGCACCAACTATTATACAAGGGCGCAAATAAACTCCAGGGAAAAAGGTTGTATACACGTGAAAGTTGGATTTGACCAAATAATTACAAACGTTATCAAAACGTTGCTAATCTGAAAACAGTCGCCGACACATTCCAAACTTAAGGTCCAAACCAGAACTATGACATCGGTATCAAAATACTTCACCATTTCTTGTTTGTTCCGTTTCTAGCCAACATCAAACTTGTATACTTTTTTCCCGGTATTTTATATCAAAAACCACACAATAAAGACGTGAACAAGATAGAAGCATATTTAACCCGAGAGATGTACAATAAAGTGAGATAAGTTTTTAAGTTTTCAGGCTCGCGACAGGCTGGGTCGTTTTTACGCGTACTTTTGTATTATAGATTAATCTAATCATACAACAGATATAATATTATGCAGAATATCTAGAAGAATTAGACTGACATTTCGTCACAGAAATAAAGTTGTCTTATTTAAACATATATCTACGAAAACAAATCCAAAAAATCCAAATGGAGCCGAGACCAATCCTTAATTTCAGACTAGAGCTGAGGCAATCTAGGTTTGCCAAGTCATTCTCATTGGACTCCTTTTTAAAAGAATTATTCTCTCGGGTCTGGGAGAAAGACTAAAGCAGGATCTATTTACTGACGATCTTTATCTCGACATTTAGTAGACACACTGTGATATAAATGAAATACTGTTCAAAGCGGCGTTAAACCCAACTCACTCACTCATTAATACAGATTCCTGTAAGCTACTCTGTTATCAATTCCTTAGAGTACATTTTGTTTATTCTAAAAGCGTGATCCGACTGTAGATTTGTAGATGTTGGAACTACATGTTTTTAACAACAAATTCACTGGCACTCTTTTGGGGAGGAAGTCAATGGATGTTATTATCACTATTACAAATAATGTAAATAATCGAGTTTGGACAAAACACAAAGTTATGCTTACCACACAGAGCTGTTGCCATCAACACGAGAACAACCATTGTCTTCATCTTGTAAGTCGGTGTCCGTTGTTTCTCACTTCAGGGGATGCCAGAGGATGAGTAGAGAGGAAACTCGCTTACTTGCCTTTTATACACCCGCATGGAATAATTATAATATCATTCACCCGACAGTTGGGACACCCACGGGGATCATTATCTGAATTAAGCAATTGATATGACATTTGTCATCTGACATATGACTTATTATTGCCCACTCAGACTGGGAAATATTTAACGTTAGCATTTTTTATATATTTTTATTTGATTTAAAGATATGTTTTTAAAAAAAATTAAGTATCTTTAAAGTATGACCCATGTGAAAAATTAAGTATATGAAACAGTTCAGTGTTTCTTTACAAGACAGTTCAGAGTGAATGTTGTTTAAAGCCGCAGTATTCCAGCTACATGACGACAGCGACTCGATTATTTATTCGAGTGTGGACGAGACAATCGAGTGGCTGATAGCATGAGCAACGAACCACACCTCACGATGACGTAAGATCAGCCGCTCATAAGGGTCCCATAGAGCTTCTAAACGTTTTAATGTTAGACATGTAGAGGGCAATTCCAAACTTGACGCATCAGAATGATTCTTATTTTGACTTGTGCAATAATGTTCTGGTGAACCCTTGACTTGCCTTTGCATGTGTTTGTAACGGGCAGGACAAGCTCACCTGTTCGCAAATACCTGGTGTCGAAATTGTTTGATAATGATTCATATACAGATGCTTGTGACATAGTCGGAATCGTCCAGTGGACTCCTTCGTATGATCAAGGAAATAAATTTGTCGATTATATTTTCTGACGATGTCAGACATTTAAGATTTTGTATTCAGTGCATATCTGAGTAATTTTGCGGCGGATCCGCAAAACTGTGTAATGTGATTGCTCTTGTGAGGCGACATGTATAGTATGCGTTCGAACTGATGATATTATGTTTACCGCCTCGCGCGTGTATGCGTGTTTGTGTTGTGTATGTGTTGTGTGTTTGTGTGTTGTGAGCGTGTTTTTTATTGTGTATGTGTGTGTTGTGTGCGTGTGTTGTGTGCGTGTGTATGTGTTGTGTTTGTAGTGTGTGTGTTGTGTATGTGTGTTGTATGCGTGTGTATGTGTTGTGTTTATAGTGTGTGTGTTGTGTATTTGCGTTCTGTGTTGTGAGTGTTCTGTGTTGTGAGTGTTGTGTGTGTTGCTTTTTGTGTTTTTTGGTGTTGTGTGTGTACCTGTGGCTGCAAGAGAGCATGTGTATATATATGATAGTACGGGATCACGTGCGCTTGTATTGTATCGTATTGTATTGTCTGCATTTTCCTGTACTTTCCTAGCTACTTACTGTATTTTTAACCTGTTTTTTTATTCGAGGAAGAATGTAATCTGCATGATATGTTTGGACAGAAAGTGAGACTTAAATTCACAAGGCCTCTCGGTTACACAAACCCACCTAGTTTCATTTATACCTGACATGCTATAGCAGTACATCCTGTGTTTATGTGTTCGGTACTTGCCTGTTTATGGCATATGTTGTTAATGACGATGTCTGTTTGCCTGTCTAGTATGTTATGATTGGTGTAGTGACACATTGACGAGAACCTGATCCATGGAGTGTCACATACTCACATAAAACACGCGTGTCAGCTCTTCACTGAACTGGGTATAATTGTTACGATTAACCTTAAACAGCACGACGACACTAACATCTGTGATTGCGGTCCAGGCTGTTTATATACTTGACATATGTTTAATGGCTAGGTTCTATCTAACTCTATATGGAGCAAGGTTTTGTGAGTGATTTGAATGTTTACTTTCGTTACCTCAGTATATATATGTACAAGCTGAAATAATAATAAGAACAAGAGCAAGAACATGAACATAAACAACAACAACAACAACAACAACAACTACAATAATTTGTATGGAGCATTTCAATGCTCAAAGCACATCTTTATTACTCCGGTCAATGGATCAGAGCAAATTCGAATTCGATTCTCAGCTCCCTGGGGTGTATACTACACAAGCTGCCTTATGAAGTGCTGGGGGCACGGGTGGCCCAGTCGTCTAAGGCGCCGCGATTCGCTGTGCAGAGTTGCGTCCCTTGGGCACGCCAGAAACCTATGATTGTGGGTTCGAATCCCGGTTCGCCCCAATTATGTTTCTAGGTTTGTCAGCACCATACCCGTGCTCGTGGGTTTCACCGAAGTGGTAATCGTCTTAGACCTGCATCACTTCGGGCTTTCCTCCAACATTGAGCTGACACGCCGTGATATAACTGGAATAATGTTAAAAGCAGCGTTAAACCCAACTCACTCACTTACTATGAAGTGCTGGCAGGATTTACACGAACATGTGCTTCAGTGGGGTAGACCCGAAGCCCCAGAAACCCTCAGGGGTCGAGCTCCCGAACAAGGCCACCCATCCACCTTCTTTCTGCCACCAACGTCGCTTTATAACGTCGCCTGATTTGTAACGAACACATGACCACGTTCCAACACAGGCTTAAGTTATAACGAATTGTCCGTCAGAGTATTCTCTGAAACTATAAGGACTTGCGAGTGAATGAGTTGGGTTTAACGCCGCTTTTAACAGTATTACAGTTATATCGCGGCATGTCAGCCTAATGTGGGAGGAAAGCACGAAGTGATGCAGGTCTCAGACGTTTACCACTTCGGTGAAACCCACGAGCACGGGTATGGTGCTGACAAACCTAGAAACATAATCGGTGCGAACCTGGATTAGAACCCACAATCATAGGTTTCTGGCGTGCTCAAGGGACGCAACTCTGCACAGCGAATCGCGGCGCCTCAGATGATTAGGCCACCCGTGCCCCCCATTAATATGACAAGGACGTCAGGACTCGCCGGGTGACGGAGCGAGTTAAGATATAAAGTCTCACAGACAATTTTGCACCCACTTAGTGTTTGTTTGTTGTTTAACGCCGCACTCATCAATATTCCAGCTATATGACGGCGGTCTGAAAATAATCGAGTCTGGACACACAATCCAGTGACTGAAATCATGAGCATCGATGACATGCTTCAACCAAGTCAGCGAGCCTGACCACCCGATCCCGTTAGTCGCCGCTTACGGCAAGCATGGGTTGCTGAAGACCTATTCTACCCCGGATCTTCAGGGGTCGCACCCACTAAGTGACCACTCTGGTGACCTTCAGTATTGGTACTGACAGACCAAGAATCGTAATCAAGGAGCATCTGGGATTCAAACCCTTGATCAGCGGATCCTGACTCCATGGACCACTGGGCCACCCATGGCTCCGTCGGCTCTGACGTCAAGTTTGATGCACTGGGGACCTATTTACCCGTTATCACAACGTGTATTGAAAGAAGTTCCTGTCGTCTAAAAAAATAAATCACTTAAATAGTCACGTTTTGTGTTTATGGGTGGTATGCCAAGGCCAAGGTGTTGGTATTTTTGTACACGCTCCAATAAACACACAAATCGGTAAGTTAGCGGTACAAATTCTGAGTGAGTGAGTGAGTATAGCTTTACGCCGCTTTTAGTAATATTCCAGCAATATCACGGCGGGGGACACACGAAATGGGCTTCACACATTGTACCCATGTCGGGAATCGAACCCGGGTCTTCGGGCGACGAGCGAACGCTTTAACCACTAGGCTACCCGACCGCCCCACATATTCTGACCACGTATTTTGGCTCGGAATCGAAAACTCAATCTATTTTGAGCTTCTGAGGAGGCTGGCTAAAAAAAGGGTTCGATTTTCTTCTTCTATGTCTCATTGGGTAGGTAAATGTATTTGCTTGAAATTAGTGTATAGTTTTATAGGGGTATTTACAGTGGGCGTTGCTGAATTCGTCCTCGAACGAACTTGGCCTCGTTGGCTTCGTTGCATCCCTTTCCTTTAATATAGTGTACTGACACCAGGTGTGATCTTATATCTTGAAGCTGCTTTTTGTGGTTAGCCCTAAAATGCAGTCCGTGATTCACGATTGCACGCTTTGAGACATGTAGGGAACAGTCCATGTCTTGGGAAGGGTGGTGAAAAAAAGGTTTCGGGAGTTACCATATTGAATACATGGATTTAATTCAAAGTAAATATGTTGTGGTTTATTAAACAAACATACCAGAAGAACAAAAAGCAGATTTTAGATTTCCCTGTCATGCTTGACAGATATATTGAAACATTTAGGGCTACTATGTGGCCTACCCAACTCCCCTCTAACCCATAGGTCGCGCTTGGGTTTGGCGTGTATCTCATAAGGGTATAAAAACAGCAGGGACCAAGCGTCTGTCACACCAGTCTCTGTCAAGGTTACTCAACGTTCAGATCCAACCATGAAGACCGCAATTGTTGTTGTAGCTGTAATGGCTGTTTTTTTCTTCGGTGAGTATTTTGAAATATTCTGCATCAATTTTAAAGGTCGGGAACTACTTGAAATATTGTGTATACTTTTATCGTCTATAGTTTTGATGTGGCATTAACCATAGTTAAACGCCTTGACATGTTTGGCCATATCCCAGGGTATTAATTCGGCTTCTAACACAATGCTGAGTAAGTGCGTTAATTTTCAAAATGGCAGGAATGTATCGAGTTCAGCCGGTGCCCGCATGTCTCCAACGCCGCGCCATACACAAAGATGGCTGTCCCGTGAAGATCCGGGACAGAATTGGTCTTCAGCAACCCATGCTTGTTGTAAGAGGCGACTAACGGGATCGGGTAGTCAGGCTCCTGACTTGGTTGATGCATGCCGTCGGATCCCCATATCATAGATCGGTGCGCATGGTGAGAAACTGGATTGTCTGGTCCATTATTTATAGAACGCCGTTACATAGCTGGAATATTGCCGAGTGCGACGTTAAAGAACAAACGGTAAGTAAGACAGTCGCTTTTCTAAAGCAGTGCTGTATAGTCATAATCTAAGTATTAACGGGTGGTCGCGTAGCCTTGTGGTTAAAGCATTCGCTCGTCACGCCGAAGACCCGGGTTCGATTCCCGACATGGGTACAATGTGTGAAGCCAATTTCTGGTATCCCCTGCCATCATATTGCTGGAATATTGATAACAGCGGCATGAAACAATACTCACTCGGAAGTATTAACATTGTAGCTATCAAGTTATCGTAATATTTCTTTATCTTATCGCTCTCGTCACGAAACAAGTCTAGCTTATTAAACTTGACATAGCTGTTGTGAGCTTAAGGAAGTTTAAGAAGGCTCGCAACTATCCATACCCAATGAGTTTATTTAAGTAAATTACTCGATGGCTAAAATATTCTAGAGCCCTGATGTTGACATCGGCATGGTGTGCATATTCATGAGGCAAGGCAGTAAACCGACTATGAAAATAGTTCCACGAGACTGGAATTTCCGAGTCGCATATTGTGTAGACCAAGACGATGCTAGTCCAATACAAATCGCGTAACAAAATCCACATCCTGTTCGTGAACAACATGGCGACTGTCGCAAAATTCCGTCCATTTCAGGATTTTGCAAAGCATGTGTACAGTCAACTAGGTGTCGATATATTTCCCAAATCTTGTTAAGTCGCGCTCATGTGTTGTGCTATAATCCATTACCACAATGTCTGTGACGCAGGGAATGTGAAACTTTCTTGGGATGAACTTGGGATGAGGTCGTTTTGACTGGGCGCTTCTATTTGTAGCTGATGCAAGTTGTATGAGAAATGAAATCTGCTCAATAGGAGGTACGTTTTAGGGCCGACTCATAATGGCCATTTTGGGCGCTCCGATCTCGGCCACGAAATTCCAGGCCAGATCGAGGGTGGAAAACTAGACTTTATAGTCTTGCCTTGGGACAAGTCCTGTAATTAGCACTTACAATTTTGATTTTTTTTTCCCCAGAGCACTCTGGCGTGCTAAGTTTCTCAGATGGCCCCTGTATGCCATCTTCCCGAAGCTAGGGAGTTGACTGTCGGTAAAAGTCCAATTTCCACTGCCAAACAAGGTTGGAATTGCTGGGCTCGATCGTAGCGCCACTAGTGGCTATTAAGAGTTATAACCCTTCTGTTGCTCCTATTGATAGATTACAACTCTATGTCGCTTACATTTGCTTCAAACAAAATGACGCTCTGAACGACAATAAAAAATCGGGTCTTACTTTGCGAAGTGCGTCACATGAGCAGCGTCATTAAAAACGTGAAAGATATGGAAAATATATCTGACGTCTTGTTGACATCGCACATGCTTTGCAAATCCTGCAATCGACAGAAATCTGCACGGCAGTTTACGAACCGGATGTCAATTTTGTTACGCGATTGTGATTGGACATGGAATTGGTGAGTTGTCTCCCTTGCCTTGGGAAGATGTTTGCACACCGACGCTGGTTTATGCATGCTATGATGTATTTTCAGGTAACGGCTCTGCCGACTGTAGGTGTGATATTGACAACGTGGTGGTGTGTGACACGGAAGGGAATAGCTACCCAAATGCCTGTGAACTTCGTTGCGAGTAAGTACAAATTAACATTCGCAAATTTCTAGTATCGACCGCCGTGTCGGAATGAGATCTTATTGGTACACGTGATCTTGATAAAAATGTAACTCGCCTCGAGGGGAATAAATTTCTCAAATCTTTTATACCCCGCCACGAGCAAATCGGGCTGCACGTGGATGTCGGAGACACGTAATAAATCCGATGTGCCCTGCTTAAAAGCAAAATTCCACGCTTTTTCCGAGTCATGGAAGCCACGCAGCACAGCGCAAGCTAACCTCGGCTAAATTGAAAAGCTGTTTTCCTCAATTTTGAATTTTTTTTTTTTTTGAAGTGTCATATTCAATATGTCGGTAAAATAAATTCATTGTAGCGGGATCACTCGGGGTACATGGGGTTTTGAGCGTCCCTTGGTTTTATACCACGAGCCTCCGGTTCGTTGGGCTAGCTAGCACTATAAATAGTCGTTTGTACGGACTAGTACAAGCGTACACGCACACACGTCGCTAAGTGCAATAATCTTGGACCAACCTTCAACCCCATTTCACGGCGCTGCACAGAATAGATCCATAACCAGTGCTGGTAAGAAGCGACAAATTCGAACGGCTGTCAGGCTAATTGCATGTCATCCTCCCATGGCGTGACGGGGTAGAATAGGTCTTCAGCAGCAACTCTTACTTGCCGTAAGAGGCAACTAACGGGATCGGGTGGTCAGGCTCGCTGACTTGGTTGATGCATGTCACAGATTCTAATTGTTGTGGATCGATGCTCATGATATCAATCACTGGATTGTCTGTTCCAGAACCGATTATTTACAGCCTAAAGCTGTAATATTGCTGAGAGGCCTTAAGCAACATTGAGCAGCAGGTACCTAACATCTGTTTTCAAATTCAGAGCATTATGTTTTCTGACAAATGTTTGTCCTGTTTGTAGAGGCAAGACGCTCGATAAAAGCAAGACCTTCAATAGCAAGTCTGGGGCCTGTGAGTGAACGTGCCGGCCTTCACCCTGGCCCACACCAGGATGCCACCGACATCATGGTGTTATGTGACCACGCCCTTGTGTAATAAATGATCTGGTTGAACTGTCTCGTCTTGTGTCTGGGTTAACCAAAACGGGCGATAAACCTGTTAATGGTTCAACCCTGAAATGTTTCGAATACTTGTAGCTGCAGCTGGGTTCAGAATTCTGGTATTAATTTTTTTTAATACTTGGATCATATCAGTGTATTTGTACAAATGGGCTACCAACAGAAATCTATGTCTGAGATAGTTGAAGACACATTATGCACATTTCTAAAGACAAGCGCGTGAAGATCCGGGTTAGAACGGAAAAGAAACGCAAGTCGAGTATGCAGTGTACATGTGTTTTATTTTCAACAGTAAAGACAAGAAATACTAATAGGGCAAGATGGACAAAAATTTCACTGAAGACAGTTTAATGGATTAAAAGGCAGATGACATAATTGTTTTTTCTAATGTTAAGGGCTTACAGTTCGGGTCAATACCCAAAATGTCGGTCAATACCTTGTGTGACCACCATTAACATTGATCACTGCCACACATCTGTACATTGAGTGGATCAGACGATTTGTGAAGGCCCTAGGGATCCTCCTGCATACATCCAGAGCAGCTGTGCGTAGTTCATCGGCAGTTGTAGGGACTGGGCGCACATTGTGCAGACGCCTTTGAACCTCATCCCACAAGTGTTCGATGGGGGTTCAGATCAGGGCTGAGGGCTGGCCAAGGTAGAACACGGATGTTGTGTTGTTGCAGAAAGGCCATGGTAGCTCGGGCAACATGGGGACGAGCGTTGTCCTGCTGGAAAATGTGTTGATGTTGGGGCCCCCCCCCCCCAAAAAAAAAAGGAACGTGGGGTCTGATGACTTGGTCGATAAAACGCTGAGCAGTGACGCCATGTCCCCGACCTTGACCAACATTCAGAAAGCACATGGGTCCAAGTCTCGCATTAAGTCAAGTCCCTGCCCATATCATGACGCTAGTCGTGCTTGTCGATGCCGTGGTTGGAGAACAGGACGTGCTGGTCGGCGACATCTGAGGTTGTTGGAACGGAGACGTGGTATTGGGGGTATTTTGATTCTGATAACATAAACTTAGTTATCACAGTTTGGAGAGATAGTGTCGGTTGTTTTGTTCCTCGGGGCGGATGGCCACGATGCATGTACCTCGGTATACAGCTATAATGTAGGATGCTGTTGGCTTTTCGCCTGCTTTTGTTGTATTTAACATTGTTACTTGCCCCAGGGCCCATCTATAACACCCCGCAGTTCAGGGTACAAGAGTTCAAACAAGGTTATCTTTTCAGAATGTTTCAGACCTATATGTGACTCTGGATAATGAGATCACTTAGTTACTTCGTTAAAACGCTTGGCTGATGTCAATCACAAATGACATCCCTCAATACAAAGTTCGATCAGTTTTGTGAAGAAGTATGTGAGAGACTGAATACAGTACAGGATGAAAATAACATAAGCTCCTCCTGCACAGTTGGTACTGAGCGTGCAAACAGATTGCATTCACGCAGTGGTAACAGACCTGTGGTTGTCAAATTTGCCTTCTTTAAGGATAAATCTGAAATATTCGAAGCTGCAAGAAAAACGTAAAAGGAAATGAACAATTTAGAGTGTCTGAGGATTTTACAGAGCAAATGCGACAGATTAGATCGAAATTACTCCCCTTCATAATGACAACTCTATGGAAATTCGTTATCGATGGTACTGGGATTCATGGTTACATTGTCACAGACAATAAATCTTGACACACTGTCTTGTATATGAACTCAAACCTGAATTCTAATACAGATTTCACACACTGTAAAATAGATTTGACAACCAGATCTCTGCACAACAAACTGGGGAACATAAATGTGGTGGTGTCAATGTACATACCAACCTTGATACTACAGGTTAATACTAAACAGATCTCAGATGGAATACCAGATTCAACCAAATTTCATCATCAGGAAGATAGAACACAAAACTGTTGTCAGGCAAGACCTAGTGAAAACACTGACTCAATACCAGACATGAATATAACTGATATTATGACTGGCAACAGTGCCATAGTTAGAAAAGGTTATATTACCACCATAAGCTCATGGAATATTAACGACTTCTTGTCAAAAATTGAGTTTTCGTATTTTACTCTCTTTTGTGAAATATATGACATTTTCTGTAGAACAGAGACAACACGTATGAATGCGCATGATATTTTACAAATCTATTTAACGACTAAGAAATCTTTAGTATCTTCCACTTCCTTAAGAGAGTTGGATGATGCTTAATCTCTCAAGGTAAAGAATAAGTTTTTGTTTCCATCAATCCTGAGGTTTCACCAGTATATACAAACAGAGAAGAGAATTGAATTGACATGTGCGAACGGCAATTTATTATCATTCTTCATAATGATGGCGATTCATCCGAATTTATTTTATGTGGAGATTTCAATGCCAGGACTGGAAATCAGTTAGATCTCTTGATCTCAACAATCATTAGATAAAGTCATAAACAACTATGGATTAAATCTATTAGGTATGTGTAAGATACTTGACATCCTTATAGGTAATGGAAGATTTAAATCACAGGCGATCTAACTTGTGTATCACACTCTGACTGCAGCGTTGTTGACATTTGTATCATTTCCACAGATATTTTTACAAAAATACCAAACATATACTATAGACTGATGTCTCAACTTGAGTGAGTGAGTTGTGTTTAACGCCGCTTTCAACAGTATTCCAGTTATATCACGGCATGTCAGCTTAATGTGGGAGGAAAGCCCGAAGTGATGCAGGTCTTAGATGTTTACAACTTTGGTGAAATCCACGAGCACGGGTATGGTGCAGACAAACCTAGAAACATAATCGGGGCGAACCGGGATTTGAACCCACAATCATAGGTTTCTGGCGTGCCCAAGGGACGCAACTCTGCACAGCGAATTGCTGTGCCTTAGACGATTGGGCCACCCGTACCCCCGTCTTAACTTGAGATCAGAAAAGACACTTCTTCCTGTATTCTTCCGAAAAATATATTATTTTGGTTAATAGAGAGAAAAACCTTCTCTCATCTTGGCTTTACCTATCATCTGTACCTTAGAGTTCATGTTAAAAGTCGGTTTAATTATTTCTTTAAGGGGGAATGGACGTTTTATCAGATGCGATGTGATGTAACGTAACGTTACGTGATGACCAACTCTCACAAGAATACAGTATAATACAGTACAAGATAAACTTGATTTGTATTTAACCTTGTAGACATACAACGGTAGTAATAAATATAAATAAAAACATAGACATGATCAGATGGAATGCTTCTATATTTTATTGCACAATCAATATGTACTTCTGTAGTCGGGAACGCTCCATTTGGTCAAAGGTGAAGGTGAAAGTCATCTACTTTCTGGCAGCAACACAAGAGTTGGCACTGAAGGTGTAGGCGCCTTCTGCGGCCTGGACGGCACCCCTACAATGTTAAGGTTCATCGTGAGGCAAGAATGAGAAATTGTTACTGGTACACTTCCTTCCATTTAGTTAGATTACATAGCATGTGTGTTTTGATAATAAAGGCAGAAAAGGATATTTATCGTTTCATTAAAATTAATGTATGCGATTAAAGATCTTAAGACACGATAAAAATAACACAAAAACATGTTTACATGGTAACTGAATTCCCTGCCCTTGTCTACTGAATACATATACAGACGACGTGTTGGTAACTTTCATTATTTCTTGAAGCAAGGTGGAGGGGTTGGGTGAGGGTGGGAGTGGGCGTGTTTTCAGATAATGGGGATTAAATGTTAAATTGTATGTATTTACAGTGATCATTGACAACAAAAGGACATAAGTGCTACAACAGATGTTATCACTTTACACTTTCTCATTGGCTTAGCAAATCGCAAAGAGAACCATCGTAATTATCATCACTATGATTAATTGCGGTTTCGTTACAGTCGACTAATCACTATAGTCTAGCCTGTTATATCTGGGATGAACTCTACTTTGCTTTGACACTCTTAGTGCTAGGGTTATGAGACGGATCTCTGTAAAAGTATTTCATGGATATACTTACTCAACGCAGTTCAACTGGCACGCGTTGTCGTAGTAGTTGCCGGCGGTGTCACAGACGGGGTCAAGGATGCGGGGACAAAGGCAGTCACAGTTGACAGTGCTGGCTATGAAGAAATATGAGGGGTAGAGTGACATGTCTCTCAGCAAGTACAAGGTTGTTGCTAGGAATATTTTCCACACAGTCTACCTTGTCCCACACTTTAAATAAACATTTTGTCAAGACGACTCGTATAAGTTGGGGGCACGAGAGGCGTATTCGTCAAAGGCGCCGCAATTCGCTTCGAAACGAAGAAACCTATGCGGTGGGTTTGAATCCCAGTTCGCCCCGATTATAATTTGAGGTTTGTCGGCACCATACCTATGTGCGTAAATTTCACGTAAGTGGTAAACGTTTGAGTTGTGCATCACACAATGGAATACCGCAAAAGCCGGCATTGAACCCAACTCACTCACTCATATTGATCACTAAATGTAAAACGATAGCTATGTTGCTTCATTAGGACGCGGTATTGTCATTCTGAAACTAACAAGCACGGTGGGATACTGACAGGAATGCGGGAACAAATGCAGTCACAGTTGACAGTGCTGTCTGTGAAGAAATTTGGGGGGTAGAATGATATTGCTCGAGAAGCACTACGTTTTTGCAAGGAATATTTTCCACACAATATACCTTGACCGACACTTTACATGAACGACTTTTAATCAGTAAATGTAAACGATATCAGTGTGGCTTCATTTAAACGCAGTTCGTCTGAAACAAACAGATATGGGTGTGATGGTGACAAACTAATTAGGATTGAAATCAGAACGAATCTTGGATTAAAGACTATAAGAGGATTCTGACTCAACTAACTCAGCGACTTCCTCCATCTCAGGCGACAGTGTCAATTGTGA